CTAGAGGCCCCAGCAATGCTTGTCAGCATGCTTTGTCTAATGGGTAATCCAAGTTGATATTCCTAACTTGAAATATACTAAGAGGGGGAAGGAGGGGCAGGGACGGGGAGTGATGGAGGGGCCCTGCCTGGCCTTGTCATAATTATTTACGAGGTAAATGTAGTTTTTATAACAAAGCAGTTATTTAAGATGCAGGCAGTTCAGAATTGGTCACATAATTTGACCCATTAAACTTACTATTCAAACATAGTTTCTCTCCATTTCTCTCTGTTTCTGGCTCTGATAGTCACTTTATGGCATGAAATTTCTTTGAATATCTACCTGCTTTCCTTGTGAATCATTACGTGTAGCATTCAATGAGTACTTGATGGCTCGTACCTCATTCAGAAGCAGTCATAACCATTCTTTAAACTTTTCTCATCACATTGGCAACTAATAACAGATATATTTTTATAATGAATTGATAGTAACATATATACTGTAATAATGCACCGAGAAGATCATGCATCATCCAGTATATTTCAGGTCTTAGCTATTTTTTAGATGCTTACGAGTCACACATCTGTACAGGAACCACAAAACTCTGGAGCTGCATTTATAAGCTAGAACACCCAGTACAAGAAACATAATAAACATGACTGTCAAGACATCCAGGAGGATGTGCTGCATACGGCTCAGGTCATGGACCGAGGATTGGAGATACTGTCCTCCGTGCTTGATCACATGGTCTACCCAGAATGCAGCTCGCTGGGCAGGGGGCATCGGCCGATCTCGGAAGATAGACGAGAGCTTCTTAGCTTTGTTTGCAAACTTGTCCGTGCTGGTGACTTGGTGGATGGCATGCTGCAAACTGTCTTCCGTCACTGTCAGTTTGTCGACGACGACACCGATCCCGGTCGAGGTAACGCGAGCTGCAACATCAAACTGATCACCACGCAGAGGCATGACGACGGTAGGAACACCATGGTAGATGGCTTCATAGAACCCATTATTCCCTCCAGGAAACACAAAAGCCTTTGTCTTGGGATGGCCAAGCAGATCGTTCTGTGGAAGCCAGGGCAGGATTTTGACATTGCCTGGCAGTGGGAAAGGTGGCTCGTGTCCCAACTGCATGATGACGTTCTGGGGGAGTCTGGCGAAAGCTGAGATGAAGATACTGAGCTTGCTGTTCGCTTCAAAGAGATCCTGCGAGGACAGGAAGGAACCGAAAGAGCAGACGATGACTCCATGATCTCCAGAACTCATGACGAAGTCCTCCAAGGAAGGAGGAAGTTTCTTTGGAGGCTTGGACGTAAGGCCTCCAACAAGGACCACGTTGGGTCCCAAGGCACAGGGGTAGTCAGCTACAAAATCACTATTGGCAAGAAAGAGTTCAGTATGACGAACGACATCTAACAATTCAACAGAATCATTGGAATAATGCTCATGTAAGAGATTGTTGTACCATACATATTTATCCGTCGTCAGCCATGGTACAAATGCGTAGAGGAATGTGTTCACAAATCTTTGAACGAAAGTCATCTTGTTTGTGAATCCAATGCCTGTGCAGGGTACGTAGGACGGATTAACATTTGAACCTGCTATCTCCGTTTCCATGCAAGGGTTTGGAAATGAAATGATTCCCACGAGAGGGATGTCAAGCATTTTAGAAATAATCGGTAAACAAGGCCATAGCATGTCATAAATAATGATTGAGTAGTTTGCTTTCCTAATTCTCTCCAGGAGTTCCTGGTTGTTTAGAACTGCCTGGCAATCCAGGTAGCGATGCCAGATAGGTTTGCTTTCTATTTCGATATTCTGACTATTAAGTCCGGACAAGAACGCTACTTTGCTCAAATTAGCGTAGAGTTGATAAATGACTTCACTTGGCACAGCAGTTTCAAATACCTCATAGTTGAATATGTCAGCACTCGGCCGGCTTGATGCCTGCTTGTAGAAGGCATTACTTACAAGATGTGTCACATTATGCCCTTTATTGACAAGCTGCTCTCCAATGGCTTCAGTTATATAGTAATGACTCCCTTTTCCTAATATTGCATTCATAAGTATATTCGCCGCATCACCACATCCTGCAAATGCAACAAGACCGCTCAACAAGAACAGGATAGAACGTTCCAAGAAGTACCTGAAAATTTCCATGGTGGACGTCTCGTCAGCTGGGAAAGTTAGGCTTCTTCTGTGCCTCTCGGAGCGCCCATGCAGAAGTCAAACAGTCACTTCCTTGCCCATGGATATGGCCTAACATTTGCAGGTACTCCAAACTCCTATGCAATGCACAGCATGTGTTGTTCAATTAGCCGCCTGCGTAAAGAGCGAACCTTCCCAAGCAAATGTGAGTCACCAAGTGGTATTCTAGCTCCCCCTCTCATTCCTGCGTGCTCATGCCAAAGCGGGCTGGTTGGTCCAATCAGTGAGTGGCTGCAACTCTTTAAGTGATGATTAATTCACTTGTAAGCATTTACCCCTACTTCCTCATTCTTTAAGACAAAATTATTTTTTGTAACGGCTGACATATGATATTCTCACTCCACAACTTCCCCCTTTTGTGCAGATCGAGCCAAGCAGGGGAAGTGCCATATTAGTCCCAGCTACACTTCTTCCTTTTATGAGCACTCAGGATTGAAAATGGCATTCTCCTAGCTACCAAGCATGTGTCAATGAACATTCAGTCTTTTCATTATAATGTGCTGCAGGAAAAGAATAACAAGTTTTTTTTAATTCATTAATTTATTTATTTATTTAATATCATTTATTTATTTTATTAATTCAAAATCATTTATTTTATTTATTCATTCGTCTTTTAAATCTTTCATTTAATTGGATATCTTTTTTATTTTTTGAAAATTTTGTCAGGGATTGGAAAAACCAGAATAAATCACAAGTTATGGTTGCGGATATTTACTTTTTATGTATTGTCTTCAAAATATAGAAGGTGGTTGCAATGTGTAATATCCCTAATAGACATTTACCCATTTACATGTACCTGTTTATTTCATCCACAAATGAAGATGTCTGGATGTGAGTGGAGTATCAGGTTTTGAGACCTAGATTAAACTACCGGTACTAAATATACTCATACCCTTACCAAGTTTTGCAAATTTCTTTAAGTATGTGAAAAAAATGATTCATCCTGATTTATGTTTCTGGAGTATGTGAAAAATTAAAGCTTACCTTTTAAAAGTATTCAACATAGGCCTTAGTTCAACCATTCCACATTTCATTCTTGAGTTAAGGAAAAAAAACACCATTAAATTTACAAAAGTTATGAATAATGTAGTTCTGAAATGCATATTAAAGTAACCTGAACCTGAGGACCACTTGACGATAGAGACTGCCTTTCCTGTCTTCTTGGAGTGGACTTTGTATAGTTGTATACATGTTCCACTCTAATTTTATACCAACAATTTTAGCAATTAAAGTAAAAATGACAATATCGTACCTCCTTTGGAGGGAAATTAAAAGTGGAATCATGGCCCGTTTCCAAACAATTCTGAACACAAAGGCTAACAAGGATCTGTCCTTGTGCATGTGTGCAGCGTAGTGAACATACCAGATCAATTTGCAAGTCATCTTTGCCCCATAAGCACTGTTCACAGTCAGGTTACGATCAAATAATTGCAATTTTTTATGTCCTGCTGGTTTGGTTAAATTATCCATGTGAATGGTCACTCAAGTATTTCCTCTCCAGCCGCTTTCAAAGATGCACTTATTGGGTACTTTCCCTTTTCTCTTTTCCATTTTCTCTTTTCCATTTTCTCTTTCCATTTTCTCGTTCTCTTCTCTGATATTTCTGTAAATCTATAAAGTGTACAGATATAGGCTCTAACCTATCGAGTACAGGAACCAGGGGGATCCTGTGTTAAGCCTATGGGAATGTGAACATTCAGTAATTAATGAGCTAAAATTCAGCATGCATTTGTTCAGCAAAGTCTTAAAGGTAAAGACATGCAGTTCTGGTCATGCAATGGCATTGTGAAAGAAACTTTGTGGAATTGATCAGAAAAGGTTGATCATCTAGCATATAAGTATTTGTGTCTACTGCAAGGTTCTGGAATCATCAAAATGATAAGAAATTTGGCCCAGTCTTGGTAAAGTTACCAGCAATACACAGAAAGATGTATATGGGACTACCCTATATATCTATCCAGTCTGGATAGATATAATACTTTACCAAATATATCAATTAGTATGCGGTTTCCCGGCAAAATTTGTATGATCACGTATTGGTCAAAACATATTCTTTCACATGATTGGTAATAAGAGCTTCCATTTCATTTTTTGAGAGGGGGGCATTTCCAAAACTGGTCTTTACCTTTAAACAGTCCGTCAGTGGTTAAAAAAATATAAAAATCTGCAGTAAAATCCAAGGCCTATATTAATTCTGTCTTCTGGAATAGTACACCATTTCCTGTATTGTCCATACTACTTCAGTTATATTTATTTTCTTTGTCTATGATCTTCTCCTTTTTAAAAAAACTTGGTAACAGTTAAAAAAAAAAAGTTTTTCCATTTTTGTGTTGTCTTTTAGTTTTTCTTAAAGACTTGTCTCTGTTTTAAAAAACGTTCTCTCTTAACTGTACTGTTTATGAATATGTAATGACCATGTGATGAAACGAATTTAACATGAGCTTTATATATATGATATTTTCCTACAGAATAGGTTTGGTGTTTAGTTCCCTGTCCCGGTATATAACGAGATGTATACAAATGGTCTACACGCTTTAAAGAAAACAGTGTGCTTTATTTTGATAATCAAGATATAGTGGGAGTCGAGATCACTCAGATTTTGATAGATACGATAAAACAAGGATCTCCTGAAATTGGTCTATTACAAGCCTGACTTCAAAGAAAACAGTGCATATTTCCTCTTGAATAGTTCTTTCATTAACAACATTCTTTCATGTTTAAATATATTTGTTGGTGGTATTTTGAGGTTGTTACATTTTGCTCCGTCTCAATAATTATGTTCTTTTTATTACCTTCTCCTTTTTTAATTTCAGTTTTCTATTATCTCACGTATGAAGGTGCTATAGACTTAGACAGGTGAGTCAACATGTTTACCTTCATACGTTTTATTTCTTGTTTATTTGTTTGTTTCATTATTTAGTTTTTTATGAAATACTTTTTTTTATAGTCCTTGACAATTGAGATAGTTTGATTACCGGTATCTCATTATTTTGCAAAACAGAGAGTTCCCGGGTTTATAAATTTGCAGATATATTTAAATGAAATGATTAGCATTTGCAGAGGTAAAAAATGGCAATTTATATGTACATGCAGGTACACTTTGGGAAGAGCCATGCCCTCCTAATTGCTTTGCCTTTAATTGCTACCATTTTACTGTATCACACTCATAGAAAGCCGTGAGATATGCAATCATCTTATGGTAAATGTGTATATGTGCATCTGTCTATATGTATGAATAAAAAATGCTGCAGACACTTGAATACCGGTATATGTTTTGTGGTTTGAAGCTTTTATACATCAAGTTCTTGTGACTGTTTTTAGGTATTTTCTGCATTTCTCCTCCCCTTCCTTACTTCTCTCTGGCTTCATTTATCCTGAAGCATTTAAACAACAATTATTACATACATTTGATTGTGTAATGATGCATTTTAACCCATTATAAATCAAGCCTGTGAGTACCAAGGATAAATCCCTTTGAAATTTGATACCGGTAATAGAAATATTATCTCAAGCTTAGAAATTGCCACCAGACCTCTCTGTCTCAGTATGTGAATCCTGATGATTACATACAACACCCTGGTATACTTTAGAACTATAAGCTCAAAGAAATTACCAACAGACCTTTTCAGGACTACACATAGTAACATACACTCAAGAAAGAAAGATTACCGACAGCCCTCTTCAAGATTCCCCAATCCTCCCCCCTCTCTCACATGGTGCAACCGTAAGCTATATATCTACATCGCCATGCAAGCCGATACTTATAAGCAGCATCGAAAACAATATTTTTATTTCTTTTTTGTCGTTGTAACCATTAGCATATCAGACCCAAATGAGAAGGCGTCCATGCAATCTCAGATCATGGAGTTTGGACAGACCCCCAAGCAGCTGTTCACCAAGCCCCACCCTACAAGGTTCTCTGCGCCAAACCCAGTGGCAGCGGTGGGATCGACAGAGCAGGAAGCCACACAGAGAAGCAACCAATCCTTTATAGGCAAAGTAGAGACTTCACCTCGCCCTGAACTCCCCTCCTCCTCTTCCTCCTCGGCGTCGGCTGGGCCAGTGCAGGATCAGCCAGAGGGGGCGCCATGCAGCTGGGTGAACGATAGCAGCGTCTTGCCACCACATTCCATTCAAGATTCGGGTAGGTTGACAAATATGTATTCCACCACTGAACAAAAAGCTGAACATCCAGAAAAAAGAAATTTCATTTTTTTTTTTTCATTGCTGAAAATCTTTCGGAACTTGATATTCTATTTATGGAGTGATGACAATACACAATGAATGGAAAATAATTTGGTTTAAGGAGGCTCCCAAACATATCTGGAGAAAAAAAAATTGTGTGAAAGAGGGGGTTAGAGAGAGAGGGGGAGAGAGAGGAACAGAGAGAGGCAAATATTGTTCAAGGAAACATCATTCACGTAAATGTCACCTTTCTCAGAAATTTGTATAAGAGTGCTCTCCTTTAAGAGTGTGAATGGGATCTGAAATTGATTTCAATTCAAGTAATGGAAGTGCAATATTTGCTTCAGTTTTTCAATAATCTTTCCATTTTAAGTTGAGATGTCTGCATTATTCCTAACAGGCAAACTTATAAAAAAAATATCCTTTCTAAACTAAATGTTGATATAATTGTAATCTTCTGTTCTGATTGGCCATGCTTCTTTATTTCATGTTATTCAGGTCATTTAGAAAATTCTAAGCCTTCTCTTAGTCAAATCTCTCCTCGTTCACCTTGGGAAAGAATAACGCAGCTGCAGCCAAGCTTCAGCTACAAATTACACAAAGAGTGAGTTTTCTTGTTTCCCTGCATGATCATTTATTGTAAAGCTATTGAAGATAAAAGTACAGCTACAAATCACAAAGAGTGAGTAATGATGCTGTTCTGCATTATGATTTATTATGAAGCCATTAAAGGGGAACATGTTCTGGGCTCAAATTCTTTCTCATTTTATGTTGAATGAAAATGAAAGTGACGAGAATAGGTTAAAAAATACTCTCTGGCGTCCTCATGTTGCTTTTTATTTCATTTTGTCTCTTTCGTTTTTCATTTTTGTTGTTGCTTCCTCATAATCCATATTTCCACTTTCTATTAAAAATGATCATGTAAACTTTTCTTTAAACATGGTATGATTTTATTCACATGATTTATGACATGACAGGTATCAATCACACAAAAATCCTTAATATCTTTGCTGGTATGGGAAAATATTCATGGTTAACATGATATTCAAAACTTGTTGAACATATTTATGTGAAATATGCTGGTTGAAAAATGGTGTAATTATTGTTTTATTGTGTATGTCTGTCAGTATTAGTTATATTATTCCTATAACTTCCTTATTATCAGTTTTCAATATTTATTTTTTTATGAGTATGACAAAAATTGGGAACAAAAATACAGCATTCGAAACTTACAAAATATTATTTGCAGTAGACTTTTCTGTTCTTGTAGTGAAAATGAAATTGGACTGAAACATGTTTAATATGGTCTCATATTGTTTGCATGTGTATCAATATATGCAAGCGGCAATTTCTTTTTCTTTCTACCTTCCATCAGTAGAATTTTATGATTTAAAAAAAAAGTCATATCCATCAACTCTAATATGAGGCATTTAGAAACTTTTATGTTCTTCTGCATAATAACTAATGATGCAGGGACTGAACTATACCTTCAATTTTAGTTTAAGTGCAGCATTGATAGAACTTTTACCTTTGTTTTCCCTCCAGTTCTGTGTGTGATCTAAAGCTTTCAAGTAACAACAATACAGTCTTCTCAGTCTCCAAAGGTGATTATTGCAATGCTAAAGACTAGTTATTATGCACTTTACATGTACACTGTATACCTTAGACTGGGCTTAATACTATCAGAAGTTTGAAGAAAAAATGAAATTCAGAATGACCCCAAATAAAAGCAATTTTTTTTTTTTCATTACAAGAAACGTGTAGCAATACCTCCTTATTACTCGGTGTTGACTTCATCTTTATAATGACACTGTATTTTCCAAACTATTTACAGTTTAGAAAAAAAACATTTGAGTGTACACATGCAAGTGGTATTGTAGTAACTCATTTAGCAATTAAGTGGCTCACTTGACTGTCTGAGTTAACAGATTCTGATGCTTGATTTTAAAAAAAGTGGTTCAAAGAGTTCTTTCTTTAGAAAATAGAAAATTTTAGATACCTTTGATTATGTATCCAACATTTAAGTGAATTAATGATAGAAAGATTTTGATTAAGGTGCATGATGATGTATACTTGATCTAAAGATTATGAATATGATCTTGTTTAACCTTGAATGTTGTTCATTTTCTTACACCTGACAGATACGCAGCTGAAGATGTACTCGTTTGAAGACCAACGTCAGCTGCGGAGCGTCAGCCTCTCCAACATGGCCCTGTCCAGTGTGATAATCACCCCTGACGACAAGAATGCACTCATTGCATCATGGGATAACTCAATGTGAGTCATGAGACACTAAATATGACGGACAAAGAAAGCGGACAAAATCTACAGTTCCTCAGGTAGACAAAGGAACATCCCTTCACTGCTATTATGTAAAAATGTGTAGAACAGGTGTCACATGCATATTCACCTGTTCTACACATTTTTACATAATAGCAGTGAAGGGATGTTCCTTTGTCTACCTGAGGAACTGTAGATTTTGTCCGCTTTCTTTGTCCGTCGTGTTCATAGTGAGATGTTCTTGTGTGGATAAAATTATGCATTATTTATGACTGTTTTAATTTTGTGTGACTTTGTATCCAAATACAATTTTAAACGGTTCATTTTATATCATATTAACCTCCTGACCATTAACACTTCATGACACAGAAGGCTAAAGGTCATCCAGGGGTCAGTTCATGTCATTGTTTTAACCCATTGCCTACAGGAATTGGATGACCATTGTATTAAGCCTATGGGGATGAGAGATTTCAATGGTCAGAGGGTTAAAACACTAGCTGAAAAAAATTTCTTAAATAGGTACCCTTATGGGTTAAGATTAACCTGATAAACCTTTAGTTTATCACTGAGTCACTGGGGAAATAAACATCCAATAGATCAGTTCACAAATGTATTCAGATGTATGCATGCCTTTAGTAGAGTAACAATTCCAGAGCTAGGCAGGTGATTGCCCGACATAACAACAAGTAACACTACCTTGCTTTGAAACATGTGACTTTAATTAAACAGGGGGAAGAAACATCCATAATAGACTAGCTTGCAAATGTATTCAAGTGTTTACCAGATTATCAGTACTAAAGCTTGCAGCTGATTATTTAACAATATAGTGACTGTTAATGCCTGCAATCTGCATTCTGGAAAAAGCATGTGAATAACAGGTGAATGAAATAGCATCTATCAATTCACATCCCTTTTTTTTTTTGGGGGGGGGGGGTCTCACTTCCAAGGCATGCATCGGTGGAAATGTAAAGACTCTGAATGCTACAATAAGGGTCTAGAAGTGTAAGGTCCATTGATATTCATTAATTCTGCCGACAATGTTTATGCATACATTCAATCAAATGTATGCATGTCTCCTGCATATGGGGTGGTTGTAAGTAGTGGTTTTAAGGAGTGGTTTTAAGGAGTAACTGGAAAAAATGAGACCTGAAACTTGGTGGGGTATATAAGCAGCTTGTGCCCAGCTATCTTGTGGATGCAGTGAGCAGGCAAGGCCAGAGTACAGACACATGTAACGGGCTAACAACAAATATGCAAATCATGTGATTTGAATTACAAACAACATCTGACACACATACATAAAGAAAGGACATATATCTTGCACACAACACCTAACATGTAATACTGAAGACTGTACTACTGGCCTTGTTTATTAGTATTTATGCCAGCCTTTTTCTGCTGGTATAAATCAGTGATTGCTAGTGGGCTGCTTTTCGACTCGAAAGCTATATTTATATCATTGGAACCTTGACAGGTAATGTGGAGAGTAGTACTACGGTATGTAATAATGTTGACAAAGAAATGTCAACTATCATGAGAAATATAATAAAAGGATAAAAATTGACATTTATGGAGTATACATGTATCATGTACGATGAGATTTCAAATTCTCTGTAGTAGTATTCTTCTAAGTTTGATTTTCAAAAGAAATTGTAGTTTGTCCACATTCGGACCATTTAGATGAGGAATTGTAACTTTATGAAGTTATTTTCCTAGTTGTTGAGACTCGTTTTGTAAGACGGTTTTGGATGGAATTTTTATTTTTCTATTTATTTTTCTATTTATCTTGTTTACATCATCAAACCTGCATTTGACTACCACACAGATATGTATACTCAGTGGACTATGGGCGTGTCTTGGAGGTAATCCCCGCCCACGACGATGCAGTCTCCGCCCTCTGCTGGCAGCAGGGCTCTTCCATCTTTGCGTCTGCCTCCTGGGATTCAACGGTCAAGCTATGGGCAGGCGAGGGCCTCAACGGAGGGGGCCAGAGGATAGTGGCTGATGTTCTCACAGAGCTAGATCATGATTCAGGGGTAAGTTTGTTATCCAGGATAACGATATATGTGGCCATTCATATAGTTATTAACAAGATAGCTGCTGCACCATACTGCTAGAAATATTGCTTACCAAAGACATATATTTCCAATTTATGTTGTAGTATCATTATTTTGATTTTAGAACAAGAACAAAAAAAAACAAAAAAAAATCGTCATTTGACCAGTCAAAACATTTCAGTTTAAAACGGCTTTCAAAATATACAATTCAGGGCAATCCCTTCCCCCCCAGGCCCTGCCAACTGGGAGTAGCCCCTTCCTTTTCTTCTAGAGGACATGTATTCTCATTCTCTTTAGGACAGTCAATATTTATAGGATGATTGAAATAATAATTACTTTTGTGGAACCTTGTAGAACTGTTAATCCTCAATTCCAATAATGTATTTGTTTGATTGGACTTTTTTAAATGTGATTGTAACAAGCATTCCTTCTAACACTGTCCAGGTAACCTGCACAGAACTGAGCCAAGATGGCAGCCTCCTCCTGACTGGTACCAAGGACGGGGACGTCAACCTGTGGAACGTCGAACACCAGGTAGCGCTACGTCACTTCCAGAGCCACCATGGACCAGTCAATGTTGTGATATTCAGTCCTGGTGAGTACAGCACAGAAGTTCTTTCAATCCAGCATTTACAAAATTGATGTAGAATCATTTATAGAAAGATTGTTGTTTACAAAGATTTTTTCAAGTACACCATAAAAAGCTTTTTCAGATTGTTATGAGATTATTCTGTGATTTGAAAAAAATTGTTATTAGACGTCAAACTGTGTTAAACAGCATTTTTCTGTGATTAAATTGCTCATGAACCTTGATTCTGAATGCAGTATGTTTGTCATATTCTTACTCAATTGGGTGTCATTCGGGAGTGGTTTCTTATTGTTGGGTTTGAGATGCTGGTGCCAGAGTCACCATACTTCAAGTTGTTAATATCATTTTTTTCCCTCTTCATATTTTTATTCATAGATTGTCAACAGATGGCTTCTGCCGGTCAGGATAGCTATATCCGAGTGATCGATGTAAACACAGGCACAGAGGTGTTTGCTAAGGATGGGGAACATGAAGTGAGGTAAGACATCAGAGGGTAGAAGGGTCAGGATAGCTATATCAGAGTGATCGATGTGAACACGGGCACAAAGGTGTTTGCTAAGGATGGTGAACATGAAGTGAGGTAAGACAGAGGGATAGAAGGGTCAGGATAGCTATATCCGAGTGATCGATGTGAACACAGGCACAGAGGAGTTTGCTAAGGATGGGGAACATGATGTGAGGTAAGACATCAGAGGGTAGAAGGGTCAGGGTAGCTATATCAGAGTGATCGATGTGAACACAGGCACAGAGGAGTTTGCTAAGGATGGTGAACATGACGTGAGGTAAGACATCAGAGGGTAGAAGGGTCAGGGTAGCTATATCAGAGTGATCGATGTGAACACAGGCACAGAGGAGTTTGCTAAGGATGGTGAACATGAAGTGAGGTAAGACATCAGAGGGATAGAAGGGTCAGGGTAGCTATATCCGAGTGATCAATGTGAACACAGGCACAGAGGTGTTTGCTAAGGATGGGGAACATGAAGTGAGGTAAAACATCAGAGGGTAGAAGGGTCAGGGTAGCTATATCAGAGTGATCGATGTGAACACAGGCACAGAGGTGTTTGCTAAGGATGGTGAACATGAAGTGAGGTAAGACATCAGAGGGTAGAAGGGTCAGGATAGCTATATCAGAGTGATTGATGTGAACACAGGCACAGAGGTGTTTGCTAAGGATGGTGAACATGAAGTGAGGTAAGACATCAGAGGGTAGAAGGGTCAGGGTAGCTATATCAGAGTGATCGATGTGAACACGGGCACTGAGGTGTTTGCTAAGGATGGGGAACATGAAGTGAGGTAAGAGAAGGGAAGAATACTCAAGGTTTGAAAGAGGAGTTGGAGAAATTCAAAAGGATAATCTCTGAATATCTGCCAGTACTTGTTAATCATTTATTTCTGCATGTCAACATTGGCTCAAAATATTGGCTAAGGGTGGAAAAAGAGGCAGGTTATGAGGGATGAAGACACACAAAAGAATGCATTTTGAATTATATAATGTGGAAAGGAATCATTGTGACAATTAGTACAGCTTATTACAAACCTGAAGCATGTCGGAATACATTGATGAAATGTGTTAAAAAGAAATTTATGATTTTGTTTTTGTTTACTGACCCTAAAATTAACATTATGTCATGTTTTTCTCAAATTGCTTCAATGTATTCATTCTTATATGCTTTCATATCAAGTGTGAGAATAATATTCTCTACCAGAAAATATGATACAAATGTGATCCTTGAAGAGTTGTTATTTCTGTTAACATTTTTCTTGGGGGTAATTATCGCTCTGATGCGATCCAGTTTGACTGATCATTTTCTTTCTTTTCTTTTCTTTTGCAATGAAGGTGTTTATGTTGGCTTGATTTTTCTTTTGTTTTCTTTTGTCATGAAGGTGTTTATGTTGGCGAGATCATATTCTTTTCGCCGGTGATGGAGGTGGGAATCTTATGGTGTGGGACATGGCCAAGGCTCAGTTAGTAGCATCATTCAATCAACATATAGGTAAGTATATTGGAATTGGAAATTTAATCAGTATGTGATGAAGATTGATTTTGTCCTATATGTTGCCATGTTCCAAATCATTTCTTGAGATAAACCAGAAATTTGGTATAAGAAAATGTAAAGTACACGTTTTTGAGCTAATTCATGTTTTTTGTGTATTTTTTAAATACCGGTATAGATCCTCATTAAAGTGATTGTCAACAAAAAGCACTCTCTATAGTGAATTAAATCAGGAATTGCAAATAGTTGGGAATATATATTGGATGTGAAATATACATTTGTACTTTGAAATAAAATTAAATTTTTTTTTTTTTTAAATAGATTCCTATAAGTCACATTTTGTAACTCTTTGAAATGGAATTAAATATTTATTTTTACCTCTTTGTATTCTTTTGAAAAATGATTCCTATATAGTCACATTGTGTAGAGAGTTGTTGTAGCATTTCTTTCTTTCTTTCTTTCCCATAATGTTTTAATAGGAGCAGTAAACTGTATCCAGGTATCATCTGATGGTTCCACAGTGGTTACAGGAGGTCAGGATGCAAAGATCATCGTCTGGAAAAGCTCATGAGAACTCACCAACTAGTGTGCAGAGCCGCACTCGGGCTCAGTTTTACACAACTTGATGGCATGCAGAACTGCTCTGCTTAAAGCAAGATGGGCTTGAACCGATACACGTGCAGTCTGAAGTTGGACAGTTCTTTATTAACATCCAGTCAACACACATCGGTTTGTAGATCATCTGAATGATGAACAATAATATTTGAACAAGATGGGCATCAAGTCTATTCAAAATGACATGATTAAATGCCCTTCTATTTTAATAATAGCAAATAATATACTGATAAGAGATTGTGGCTTAATTAATCCACATACATGTATGATTAAACCCATTGCCTCTGGAAACGGGATGGGTCCTGTTTTAAGATAATGGGAATGATAGAATTCTGGAGTGAACAGGTTAATACGCTTCTGACTATAAAGAGATGATACACTGATTAGAAATAGAAGTTTTGGCAATACTTATTTTAAATGTGTGCTGTTTTGAGAAGAGGTTGTTTATAGAGAGGTAGGCACCATCTTTGAGTACTTAAAAACTCCTTCATGGATTCCATCTTGATGTCACCCGTATCATGCTCTCTAGATTCTTACATACTGTACTTATTCTTGTATTGCTTTTAGCTCACTTATGTAATATGTTTTGGGTATAACCTGTGAGGTACACTGAATGTCAATGCAACAAGTTGATCAGAAGCATAATCATCTCAATTTATTTGAAGTGTTCATCTGTTATATACTTAGGTTGGGGTCCAAGGGAGTATATGTTATGCCAAAGTCAAATTATATTCAGGGGATAAGGTCACAGGAACTTTATTAGATTTTAAGCTGCATTTTAGTATCTGTAAACTGTTGTAGTTAAAATGCTTGTGGCAAAGTTTAATTGAGTTTGATATCATATTTACATTCCATCACACACATGAATAGTAGGTAACTTTGCATTGAATATGATTTAATTGTATTTTCAGAAGAGAGAAATTGTTGTATATATTTTTGGTATTATATTCGGTGTAGGCATTAGAGGGGGAAATTATATATGGGCAAGGCTGCCCAAATTGTTATTTTGTTGTATCAATGATTTTGTCTAAAATCTCAAAGTTGCCGATTTATGGCCTTTTATTTTTTAAACCAGTAGATGTATTTCATTTTACTCCTTGTTAAAAACAGATGAACAATATGTAGATGGTCTTATAGCAATTTTTATGTGAGTTAAGTTATCACAAAAATTACAATTGTGTATATCTGGGATGTTAAGAATATTAACATGCCAGGGCCTCATTTCACAAAACTTGTCATCAGTGACAAACAACAGTTTTTTGTAATGAGCTAGTGAAGTCCTTGCTTCTGATTGGTTATCAGCAGAATTGTCACCGATTTTTGTCATTTGTCATTGAAAAAAAGCTTTGTGAGACGGGTCCCAGATCTAATATTATTGAAACTCTTTTATATCCTCATCCTTAGGCAAGAAGGTGTAAAGAGAAATTCAAATCAAATCAGTTTGAATATGCAATGTATTTAATTAATCTTCTTTGAATTTTCTGTATTTCTTATTTATGAATTAAAGTGTAATATTCATGCCTATTTGCCAATACTACCCAACTCACACTTTATGTTGTATCAATGTAGACCCATTGTAAAGGAAAAGGATAATATGTGAAGTAATTAAGCCGTGTATCTACAGGAGGTGGTAAAAAAAAAGAAAGAGATCCATCAAGGCGACAAACAATGTGTATTGCAACTCCTCTGTCAGTAGCCTACGCATCAAAGCCCTCAACTAATTTTCTTTTTATTATACCAAAGTGCCTCATGCATTTTCTTCTTGCTGAAGTGTTTTCCATTATCAGTCAGTGTTGATTTTTCTTTGCAATGGAGCTTTTGCAATCTTTGTCTAATAAAGACAAAAAAGTTCATGGAAGGTTATTTCTTCGGTGTTTACTGACAGTTTTACAAATGAATGCAACGATTTAAATTAATTATTACCTAGCTAAAGTAAAGAACAATTACATATTTGTTCGAACTTGATTTCCAGCAACCATATATTGTTGTAGAGGTACCATATATCAAATGAACTGGCCAATTATTAAAAGGCAACAACATCTGTAGCAAAAATACACATGATCATTATATTTTGAAGAAAACAATTAGGGAGGATTTAGACTTTACTGTAGAAAGCAAGTTCTTGTTTTGCGAGACAAGTCTTTTTGGATTAGTTCCTGTAAACTAACTATGTATGTGTAGGTATGATGATACAATGTAATCGAATCTAACCTTAATTAGAAATGCCAAGCAGTTCATATTGGAAGATGACCCGTTGTAGATGTAAACAAAAACCAGAAGTATGTTTAATTCACCTTGCTAACACTAATTATCTAATCTACTTAAAAATGTATAACTCCAGTGGGGAGGTTGTATTACCGGTTTTGAAAGAATGAGCCATCTAATATTTGCAGTAATCTCAAATCTTGCTGTACATGTATCTAAATGTATTTTGTTACACTGTATAATGTGTTCCATTTGATTTTGTGAATCCTATACCCTGGAACGGTCCGATACGACTCGAGATGTATCAAGTATTTATTCATTCAGAAAGCAAATTATGCAGAATTTTCTTATCCACATTTTGAATGCTTAACTTGCCAATAATGGCCTTTTTAAATTGAAACAGGTACGAGGAAAAAAATGCACTTGGTTTACATCTTTTGTTCATGTACAGCCATGGCCTATGATTCATAATTTTGTCAATTTGAGTACATCTGTTACCAAAAGAATTTAAAAGATTCTACACACAGTACATCGCATTACATGTATAGAAAATACCAATATTTTGTTTCCTTATAAGGGAGTTTACAGATACAATCTGCGCATGGGCAGATAAAGGTCATTTGTACCAAAAAGGTAAAACCCACCAGAGATGAATACTGGATATGCGCTCATGAAAGTTGTGTAACATTATTCATTTATGCACCAACGGTACATTCTAAGATATTCAGGTGGAAGTATTCTTTTCAAGAGGGCAAACAAAAGGTATTCATGAAGCACATCTAGGACTTTGGCAGTTATTATTCTAAGATGCTCAAAGTGGAACTTCTCCATGTGTAAAAGATCTGTGGATATTTGGGGTCATTTGTACCATGTGCTATCTGTAAACTCCCTTATTAGAGGATCTATGATATAATGACCCAAGGGAGAAGGCATTTTGAAGGAACAGGAGGGTTGTCCATCACAATCCAATTTGATATTCACGATTTAGGCATGTTTCAAAGTACTTTTTTTTTTCTTCAGCTTTCATGCAAATGAACTTACAATTTACAAAGCCTGGATTGACCTTCAGTATGTAAATATCATTTATGTTTAATGTATTAACAATTGTGCAATCATTTATGAATTCTGTCGTTTATGGTATGTTCTACCTTCCTTAACATGGATAAGGGCTTCAGAATAAATAATAAAGGCTCAAGAAAATTAGTTTGTAGTTGTTAATTGACACCAAATAACAGATCATAGAAGACTAATTAAACAGAAACTATTCATTTATTACACAAATTGCAAAATATATACATTTTTACAGAAAGAAATTAAGGCAACCAAATACAGGTGTCCCTCTTCTTTTTCCCCCCAATGATATGCCTAGTGCCTCATTACAAATAATTGTATTCTAATAGTCATCAGAATGCGATTTTGATACATTATGTGTTGTTGGGTAGGGCAAGCCATTGGCCCGAATTCACAAAGGAGGTTTGTCAACAAACCTCCTTTGTGAATCCGGGCCATTATGTTTGTCCTAACAAAAGTGAATGAAATAATTTTTACATTATGAAAATGGTCTATCAAAATATATAGATACCTCCCACATCATTAAAAAATACACAATTTGACAATAATGATCCACTTTTAAAGAGCAATTCTGGCTACCACTATGAGTACTTCTACCTCACCTGTCTTTTATGAGCAAACAATTTGAAATTTGGCACAAACAGATGTTAGTGTTGTAATAAATCACAAGACTTGGGATAGTCTGTCCCAAGCTAGAGTACTTGCTGATTCACATTCACACACGCCATCTGTGGTTGAAAGTACATCGGGCACATCCACCAAATACAAATAACATACTATGGAAGACTGCCTGCATCAAACCAGTGAAGGCAACGATGAGATCATATCATCTATTAGGAGCCAGTAAGGCACTTAAACAAGATTTAAAGAGAAGGTTGAGTTCTGGGAAGAGATGAAAAATAATTTGTGAGCGTTCTCATTCTTATTATGCAAGTGTGGAAGAACATCAGATAAGACATGTTACCTGAAAAGCATGGCTCTTCAAATGCCTTTATATTCTAAATATGTCATGTAACTCGTAAAACTTGGGGGGTAGGTTTTTTACGCCACGTGTTCGTGTAGTCCCATATACATCTATCTGTGTACAGTGTTGGTAACTTTACCAAGACTTGGCCAAATTTCGTATCATTTTGATGATTCCAGAACCTTACAATACACACAAACTCTTATATGCTAGATGATCAATCTTTTCTGGTCGATTTCACACCATTTCTTTCACAATGCAATCACATGACCAGAACTCAACTTAATCTTTAACACCCTTCTGGCTCCAAACAGACAGTATGAGGGATTCATCATCTTCTTCATTTGATTAATAACATAGTAAAAAGTACACCAGGCTGTCAAAAAAGGGCAAATTATATGGTACTTCGAGTAGACTAATCACAACCTCCTTATTTTTTAAAGTGTTTAAACCAGTGATTTCTCTTAAATGATGCTGATATTTGAGGTCGGTAGGTAGTGCGAATATCACATGCTAGCATAAAACCTATAACATTCAAAGCACACTTTTTTGAAGATAATTTCCCTTTCAGATAGAGTTTGAATACACAGAACAGAATTTGCATTAAAAATACACTATATTTCAACACTCTATTAAACATGACTATAATATTTATGATGATCATCTCACAAAATGAAATCCTCATATATCACCTCTCACTAGCAGATAACAACGGATTCAGATTGATACTGCCCTGTGACAGTCACAGTGAAATCCCCAAGATTAAATCATCAGATCCTCGTCAACAAACCTGATTACTTTTTTAGTTAGTTGCGACAATTGGGACGGAACTTCCACAGAATCTCTGAGTGCACTCCCAGCAGATAGGCGGTTTAGGGATTACACTTGAAAAATCATTCAATGACAATAATGTTCGGACGCAGTCTCTAGGCTTTGATACAGCTAGGGCCCTAGCAAGATTTCATACAAGTACTTGATTTCTAAAATCCTACCTAAAGTATGGGCGTGCAAAGCACTAAATCTACAGAAAACGATAGGCATTTTATCCATTGTTTGCCTTTTTGAGTGTATTATGAATATATTCTTTTTGAATGAATGAATGAAACGATGCAGAGGTAGACGCCTTCTCGACATTCCTACTCAACATTACAGTAGAGGTAATCACTTGGGACGACACAGAACAGAGATCAAGGTGGAGTTGGAAACACGCAGTGAGCGAGTCGACCTTTGACACGCTACTCAAGAGAGTTGCTGGACACACACATGATGGACCCGGCTCGCTGCAGCAGCAGGATTATCAGATGTTGGATTGCTGGGCTAGAAAGGCTCGGATCCGATGCAGCAGTTCTCTCTTCACCTCGTCGGGTACAAGTTCTGGCGATGATAAATCATGCAGAGAAAAAAATAATCAACTTTCTGAGAGAAATGGAAATACAAACCCAATATATTGATTAAAATCATACACTATAGTATAAAGGAGGCCAATTTTTACGGTACAGTAATACTACATTGCTTTTGACATCTAAAGCACCTTTTTTGATGAAAACGATCTATAGTCTTACCTCTTTAAGATACACTGTCAATATTTAACAAAGTTCTATGGAATTTTGCAACAACTGAGATTAACATAAACTGTTAAAGGTCACTGCACTCCTTATTACCCGACTATACCTAGGTTTTCAAAAAATTAAAGTGCACAGGAACAGAAGGATAACAAAATTGATAATTTGTCACTTTTCAAATCAGTAGAAGCGGAAAAAATGTTTGTTTAACCCATCGCCTATGGGAACTGAATGGCCCCTTGTAATGAGTCTATAGGAATGGCAGTATTCAGTCGTTATTGGGTTAACTTTAGTCTGCTTCATGAATACTGGTCTTGAAGTCTAAAACCATTGTTGGTGATGACTTTACCTCTTCCTTTGGGTGTTATTTCAGCAACCAAATCATCTACAGTCACATGCTCTAGTCCTTTTCTCCTCACAACCTCTGAAAAAGAAGATCACAGTCGGAAAAGAAAAGGGCTGAATGGACCATATATACAGTAAATACATTCAAGCAATCTTCAGAGGAAATAAATATGGAGAATTGGAGATGCTACCACCAAATAGGACCTCTTTTAGGATCATTCATAATCTTGGTTAATTATTGTTTGGCCATCACCTCATAATCACATTTATTTACACATTCTCAGCAAGTCTACTTAATCGGTTGGAAACTGTTTTATTTGCACATAGCTTCCCATTGGTTTAATCCAATATTGTGCCAAGTGTTTAATGTGTCAAAATACACATTGTACTTTTTGAAGCTCCATACAACCCTAAAATATACCCTTCCTGTCCCCCGTTTTTGGTCAGTCACTTACTTTATAAGTATAAACATCTTAAATCAGGGATGTTTCTCATAAAATTCAACATCAATGTATAATTTTTAAAAAATGGATATCATGCATGATAAAAAATCTTTTATATTCTTATCAAATGATAAAGCATTATTGGGTTTGTCATTTTGAAGTCTGGGCCATATTTCCTAAAATTTGTTAACAATGACAAGATACGATAATTGTATAAGCTACTACTATCCTACATCTGATTGGCTGTGAGCAGATTTGTCATACATCTGTGCAGTTGCTACTGATAACACATAATATGAAACAGGACCCTGTTCTTGAATTTTAAGCCGTCTCCTCCAATCCAACTCAGCCAGGTTTAGTTGGTAAAACTCTCAATCCTCTCTCTGAAAGGATTTGCCAAAGATTTCTTACCTTTACAATGTGCCTTCAGTTCATCTCTCCAGCCTGACTCTATCAGTTTATTCCTCAGGAGCTCCTTCAGTCTAAAAGATAAGATCATAAATGTATGTCAGGATTAGGACATAGAAGGGAGGACAAGAAAAAAATAAAGCTTGTAATGTTCTATGAAATGCGGTCTTCACTCAGAACATGCCATTTTTCTCAAGTTATTCTAATTTTCTTATCTTTAAATAAATCTAGAGGCGGTATCCTGTAATAACATTCTTGGATGTATAATATCAGTATCAAAAATATACAGGAAAAATGAATAACTTTTTTTTTTTTAAGCATAACAATCTATAGCAATTGTACTATTCAACGTTTTTTAACAAAAGATGAAGGTGGTTTCCAGTACAGTAGGAGAAAACTTTGGGGAGGAGTAAAACAAACCCCCCCCCCCCCAAAAAAAAAAAAAAAAAAAAAAAAATTGGGGGGGGGGGGGATCTGAAGATCGCTCAACTACAATAGGCTCTGTTTCATCCCTGATGTAAAATCTGTAATTGCTTCTCAGTTGTGTTTTTATGTCTATTGTTCATACTGGAGCATTTCCTAACAAATATATACTCTGGATCTGCCCCTCGTTAATAGTGCAACAGTCTTTTGAAAATTTATGTTTTAAAATTGTGAACATTTCCAACAAGATGGTTTAATACCTTATCTTTTTTCTAGAAATATAGGCCATATAAGTTGGTAACAGATCTGAATAAGATCTTAATATTCTACTTGGTATTTTGTTCCATTTTTAATTGTCATCTTAATATCTAAACCTGGTGGTCATCGCCTGATTATTTAAAATATCAGTACATTACCTCTCTTTCTCTCCTGTCTCCACCAGTTTCTGGTTGATACTGGCTCTCATCTGGGCATCTTTAATCTTTCTATCTCCATAGCTACAAAAGGAGAGACAGGTGAAGAAAGAAAGGAAGGAATGATGAAGGAATGATCAATCATATTTTATAAATCACCAAGCTCAAATAAAATTAAAGGCTTAAACTTAAAGTTTCAGACTTTCAGCCAAGTAAGCAGAGCTGCTAATCTCCAGAGCAGAAAATCAGTAATCACAAGGCTCAAAATCAGTAATTTGGGGAATAAATCAGTAATACCTATATATATGCGGCGATATGAATCTAAAAAAAAAACGGCACACCAATTTTGGGGTGATTTTACTCACACAAAGTGGCTGAACATCAATTTTCAGGTCATCACAACACATCACTTTTCCATGACAAATTTGCTTCTATTAAGAGAATAATTGATACTTTTCCTTCTTTCTTAACGAGTGTTGGATGGCTGCCATACTGCACAGTGCACAGCACTCGTTATGATAATTCACATTCCGTACTGCCGCAATGATCGTTTATTTCTGTACCAATTACGGGAAATCTGTACTAGTTGGCAGCTCTGAGTGGGTCACGTCACCACACGCATTAAGAGCGACCACTTACTATTGAAACACAAGTTGAAGTGGTTGAATGAACTGTTATTTATTCCTAACTAGAGTCTAGTCTAAACCCTAGATCTACTTAAATTTTTTAAATAAAATATAGTCTAAACTCAAGTAAAATTAATTCAAATGTTTTTTATTCAAATTATTATCAGGAAAAGTCTTCTTTTTCATTTTTTTCTCTCCAAAACTATCATCTTTTTCTTTCACTTTCAGTCCTGATTTCACATTCTCAATGAGTTAAATAGACTTGAGGATTTTGATATCGTAAAACTGATCGCCTTTCATTCGATCTGTCAGTAAATTGACTGTTACATACAGTTAGCCAAAAAAAAAAAAAACGGCGCGCAGCGCGCCGGGCGAATGCTATGGCTACGCCGAAAGCTCGACCAGTCCTACGGGAAACTTCTGGCATGTTTGCGCTTGGCTGACCGGTCGTGATCCATCCAGGGAGCCCAAGAAGAGATACCCGCGAGAATCTGACGCAGGTTACGCTCTAAGATTGGGCGGCACGATCAAAACAATCCTGTCATGAATTACTTCACATCTTTAACACACTTATTCTTCACTCAAAATTAAATTTTTCATTACAAACTCTGCAAAAAGACAAGTAATGTACCGACAGTGAAACTTACTCGGCCATGATTGTAGTTTGCATTCCTCAATTGTTGAACTAATCGACCGGAATTCGAAACGGCGGGAATGTCATTGACTATCATCTACGCAATTTCCAAGTACCTTGTAAATAAGCGTATATTTCAGTCTCATGCTTCACAATTTTCAGTCTTTTTTCAAGTCGCTTTCGAGTATAACGATTTCACACAAGGTGGAAATATTATGTATGTTTAATTATTAATGTACCCTTCAACAAGAAATAGCAATAAGAAATACAAATTAATATGGGAAGATACATAAAATTAAAACAACTGCTAGGCCTATACTGCAGAGAAACACGGAGCAGAGAGAGAGAGAGAGAGAGCTTGGGAACTACCGGTACCCCCCCCCCCAATAAAATTCAATCTTTTTTTTCCCCTTCTAATTCGATGCCATATGGTGATTTACAAATGTTGCTGACAAATTTTTGCTCCTTACGCTATACTGGCCCTGGGTAATTAGCTAACGCTATGCTAGAAATTAAGTTGAGATATAAACACAACGGTTCATCAAAATCTCGTCTTACATTTTACCTTCCAGGATTGCTCCCTATCCATGCAGTCAATTGTTCAAACATCTGAATATGGTCAATTCTACTTTATGAAATTTCCTCTCTTGATTGAATTTTTCTCTAGACCTTGCATACCAGTAAAAGGCCTATGAACGTTTATTTTCTTTTTTAAATAATCAGTTTCTCTCCTCTTTCTCTCCCTCTCTCTTCTTACACAACTCCCCCCTCCTTTCTCTCTCACTCTCTCTCTCCTTCTCTCTCTCTCTGTCTGTCTCTCGATCTCTCTCGATCCACATCAATCATTTTTGTGTTCTTTTATTTTAGTGATGTCGTAATTAAGAGTATCTTGCAAATTATTTTGAGTTCTTAATCATCTCAACTAAGATTAAGATCATGATCCCCCAGTCTAAAGGGCATGTATATGTTGGCCTATACTAGCATAATTCAAATCAAACCTTAATAACCTTAAGCATAAATTAATAAACAAACAAATAAAGAATAAAATATGAAGAAATATGAAGAAAGCATAAGTGGAGAAGCCAGTAATGAATCTGACAATAATCAGCTATTCTATTTGTTTCAGAGAAGTTTTATACTACATCATACAACAAAATATGGAACCATTTCAAATGAGTAATCTGTTTCATAATTGTAGCTCAAAAGAGAAATGTTCTTCCACAAAATATCAGTCATATGTTATCAAAAGCTTGGATCTGTCTTTTTCCTTTTCAATAAAAACTTGCAAGGCATAGAACATTATATTTTACATTCTCCAATAATATCCGATTATTTTTGCATTAACATGATGACTGAGATTTATTTAGATCAGGAAATTATGGATGACTAGATAAATGGACCAATTCAATTTTGATAACAATAATCATCACACTTACTACATGGGGTTCTATACAACAGGTGAAGGGAATCTTGAAGCAGGATAGATACTATAGTACAGTATAATATGAAGCTAGACCCCTATACCATGAATTTTGGATACTCAATTAGTCATTTGTGGAAACCCTTCCTTGGTGTCTTCTTCAAAAAAGAAGTAAAATATATCTGACCTGTGGTGCAAATATATATAAGACCATTTTGGACCTACTCTGAATGACATTCTAAAGTCAGGATTATGTGTCTTATTCAAAAGTTAGCATTTCTTAAAGTACAATAAAGTATTTGATACAATAACAAAACAAAACAAAAGAGTTCACACAACACAAAGTCATTAAAACAACAAAAAGAACATAATATAAACCATTATATTTTCAAAAAGAAATACAATAAAAAAAATGAGTAACACAATTTGTTTTAAATAAATAACATTTGTAGAATTTAGAGAAGCAATGAAAACTCCAATGTCAAGATAAAATGTACATAAAAGTTGATCTTATCAGTATGAACAAGTGTTAATGGAAAACGAATGAATTAACAACAAAATATCACAAACTGCTGAGCAAAATAACTACCGGTACCCAATCTGGAATTTTGTGGGCTGACCCCCCCCCCCCCCCCCCCCCCCTCCAAGAAGAAACACTTGATGCTTGAAAAGTTCCATCCTTTCCTCCTGTTTTGTCACCTCTTTAAGAAAGGCACAATTATCAATTTTCACAGTCTGATCATATCTTTCATGAATACTGACTTGTATAATGTTGCAAGTACTAGAGATTGCACAATAAGTTATACTGTAATAAGCATGATGAAAATGTATACATGAATCACAAATTCACTTCATGTGATATCCTGTCATAAGTATTCCTTCAGCAATAGCTCGACAGCTGCAGGAAAGTCCTCACATATCTCCGCCGGAGGTTGAGTTATCTTCCCTTCATCGCCTGGTCTATACTTCCCTGCATCAAATGAAAGAGAGAAAAACAATCAAGACATCGATCTTGATATAAAACATACATTACTGAAACAAAAATCTCACTCTTGTTTAAAGCATATGATAGACAATGGTATCTTTCCAATTATATTCACATCAATACTGACAAGTAAATGCCTTGTCCCTCAATTCTTTTACATCAACACATTTTCTATAGCATCACTTACCACACATTTTGTCCTACCATTCTGATGATATCCGAAAACGGGAAACTGACATGGTAATGTAACTTGTGTTGTGTGAAATATCAATTGAACAATATTTAATTTAATAATACATTCAGGAGGCAATATAAGAAAAATTTAATTTGTTCATATCCTTTCTTAAATTATCCTGTAGAACCATACCATACTGTTTGATGCTGTTTAAAAAAAAAAGGTTTTTCATGTTTATGTTCTCATGTTCTATGTTTTATGTATTGTTTGACCAATGTCTAATTTTCATAATAATAATGTAAAAACAAACAAATACACAAACTAGGTGAACGCACCCTGCCAAGCCCAAAACCTGGCTTTCATTGTGTTCACCATTTTCCAATTATCCACTTACCTATGTTTTGTATGTAGTCTGTACCTTGTTTCTCATTGAATGCTATACTTGTTTTGTTTTTTATCTTCTTGTTTGATTGAAATTTCATAGTTGTATAATGTTTTTATTGCCCATTGACTGCTTTTTACACATTGGTTTTAATTGATGTTGGAATTTGGAAATAAATGATTTGAATTGAATTGTGTTCTTTTATTGGTTAGAGGCAGTCGTGTACTTTTTCTTCATCAAATTTAACACACTTTGAGCTATGGTATACTATAGACATACTGAGAAACCGTGTGCCTTGCCCTTTGGCTGCAAGGATCCCTTTTTCTTCTTCTTGAATTCTTCTATACTTGGTATGATCACAAAGAGTGTTAAGACATATTTTCTTGAGAGAACATTGCCAAGCACAATCACAATGCAATATGTCAAACAAAAAAGAGCTTTCCTACCTGTTTTCACAAGGAAGCCTTTCATGCCGATTGTCTGTGCTCCTTGTACATCACCTTCCACATCCTACAACAAAACAGATGTAATGAATTTTCTTTTTTCCTTACACATACACTCATTCTATTAATGTCAAACACTACAGAACAAAAAGTCATTATATATTTTCTTTCTTGAATGAAAACTCTATTGATAGAAACATTTTAACAAAATTTGCAAATAAAACAATTATCAAAATAATGGAAGTTAAGGAACATGACTTTCAACTTTACTGTCACAGATTTATATTGTTACATGCCTGGCAAAAGGGAGTTGCCAAAGAAGTCCTAAAGCACAGAAATATTACAAATCCCTAAGCAAAGTCAAGCAAACAGTTAGCAAACACTCTCATGCAGAGCGCACAACTTCTTTGGCAACCTATGCAAATTTCGGCAGATGCAGTTTTGAACGTCAAGTACACAGTCATATCATAAAGGGATCACTTAACAATGTTAAATCTGAGATGCACGGACCTACGTTTTATCAGTGTCTGTGATATGGTGTAATATTGAAGCCCTAAAAAAAAATTGCACTTCAAAATGATCAAGTACGTGCCTCAAAAAAGTAAAAAATCTTTGAGTGACCGGATTACGATACTCGTTTTCCCCAATAGACTGTAGTGTTATGAAAAATGTTTGGCAAACGGTTTTTAAAATTTGTAATTCCAATCATAAATATCTTCAATAATCAGACAGGCAATCGGCTTGTAAAAGTCATGGGGTTCCTGACTGACCTAAAGGTTTATAATTATCATTGCAGAATGAGCTAAATCAAGGATTTTTTGAAAGGATCTAAGACGAAGTTACCGGATCCCTTTAAAGTTTGATATCAAGTCATTTGACTTTGCCTAGAGGTAAACTTTCTTATATCTAACGGTACTCACATCTCCAATCATCACTGCCTCTTCGGGTGCACAAGACATCGTCTTGAGAGCCTCTTGGTAGAACGCCCTCTCTGGTTTGCCCACCACCGTAGCCCTGACCCCTGTCGCGTACTCCAACCCTTCCACAAACGCTCCTGGTCCAAGGGCCAACCCATCTTGCCTCTTGAAGTATTTGGCCTTGTGAATCGCGATAAGGGGATGGCCATCAAGGATTAATCTGTAGAAGACACACAAGAGCAAATGTAGGACAGCATTAGAATAGTGGTTCATTCACTGCTGTAGTAGGACATTTGTATCAAGTTTGAGAGTTTCAACTTTAAGAGTTTGTTCATTTACATTCACAGGTGTGATAAGCAAGTTATACAGCTATTTTATACAAAAGAAACTAATTATGTGACAGAACAAATGTAAAGAGAGACGTAGATAATATAAATCTCCTACATTTGAGAGAAATAGATATGACATCTGCTGACACCTAACATTTAGGATGAGGACACAAACTACATTCTCTACCAATGGCATACTGATGGGGGGGGGGGCTTGGGAAGGGGGGAATTGCCCCCCAAATAAAATTCAAACATGGTTTATTTCTAATTCGATACCAGTGATTTACAAATGTTGCTGAAATTACATGATTTTCCGGGTTTTTTTTTTCTTCTGCCCCCCCCCCCAAATGCTTTTGCTCATTATGCCACTGTTCTCCACCCTCCACAAAACACATCATAATTTCACTGGACGGACACAAATATGGACCCAGACTAGCCCAGACAATCCTGAAAACCTATCCCCTTTTCTGCCAAACATGAATATGGATTGTAGACAAAACTGTTCACATTTTGTCAGCTTACATTGGAATGGACTTTATGCAGTAATTTGACTGACATATAATGCTACCTTTTGTCATGTTATGCTGAGTACCAGAAAACATACCGGTATAGCAACAATCACTTAAAGCCTATCTGCACTAGTTTGGCTAGGAGGGATTAGACCTTCCTGCATGGTCTCTGATAGGTGGTTATCTCATCAAATCAGCTCTCAATTAACAGGGGGGACCATGGGGGACCAACAGTCACCGATTAGGCATTGTTTGCTATATAGAGGGCGCAAGTAGCTATAAGTAGAGCAGTGGGGCTTTAAAAATCTTTGGAAAGAGGAGGGGGTATCTACTAATTGTATATATATCAAGATTAAGTAAGGATCTCACTGCCTTGACCAGCTAGCTCACCTGAATGCTTGGTTTAATGTTCTGTAGTTGAAACTGTCCGGAGATAGACCCACTACAACACAGTTTGGATCATCTGTACATATATCTAATGGGATAGAGAAGAAAGCAAATGGTTTTCACCTTGAGAGGGCATCCTACAGTGACATAAAAATTCAAAAACTGATAATCGAAGAAACTTATAGACCCACGGTATCAAATTATTTCACCCCACCTCACCTCACCTTACAAACTTCAATGTGTGATCACCAAGAACCTAACCCAGTTCAAGGCCACAACTTACAAGTCTACTGAAATTTGATATCTAACACTAGGTCTTAGGCAACTGAATACAAATTAAAAACATCTGAATCAGTCTTTCTCTAAACCCCCTCCCCCCCCCTCAATTTTTTTAAACAAAATAAAATAAAATGTCCACACAAATAGAGATATAATTACATTACACCTAATATTTTCTATTCCCATTTATCCCTCTTTGTTTCTAAAATATCGTTCAGAGATTAAGCAATATGGTAAACTGTATATCCTCTACAAAAGCAATAGAGGTTAATTTTAGGTTACCGGTAATGTAAATTATAAGAAACAAAGAATTAAAAAAAAGTATCTTACCCACCTTTGAAGTCCTCCTTTGCACTCTCTTGGAGTAGCAGCATTGGTCTACAGCCCATTTCCTGGACCTTGTTTCGTGCAGCAGTAAGGGAAGAGAAGATCTCATTCTGTTTGATATCAAACCCAATCCTTGAGAGACGACTGTGAAGCGTGGTCATGCTCTCCTTTGTGGTATTGGTTACAAACTTGATGTTTGTTGTTCTTTCTCGTAGGCTGCAGATTCAAAGAGAAAGGAAGAATAGATTAATCATCTTCCAAGATCTACAAAATATGTAACCTATTCCGTATTCCACAACAAGAACTGGTACAATATAATTCTTAATATTAATGAGTTAATGATAAGACAGAACAGTTTAATCTACATCGTCATTTCTGCAATGAACTTACTTACAGGTACAAGTCCCTGCCGCATAAATAACATCCTTTGGCAAGGCATCAATCTACATTTGCCACACTCGACCCAGGTGAAGTGAACAGGTACCTGGCAGGGATTAATTCCTTAACCTAGAGCACCGTAAAAGCACCCATCCTAAAGCTGGGGCAATGATATCATTAAAGCAACAATGGCAAGTGTTAGAAACATGAGCACTATACAATAACACACTATCATCGGAACTAGCAATATAGTTCTTGAATGCTCGTTCTTCAATAGTTTGAATACAAATACAGAATAAAAGTGAGACAGTTTATACCATTGTAATGCAGCTACTGCTCCTGGTATGGCAGCATCCTCTATGTGTATAGTACCGCTGAGGTCTATCAGAACCGCTCTCAGTCTGGACATTGTTGCCATACCTTATATCCTCATGTCGGCCGCAGAGATGGAATCAGAGAAGATAGAAGCACACTCATTTGATGGAGGTATGTATGGATACAGCCTCTGTAGACAGAGGTAGAGATCCAACAGTACAGTGATTTAGACTATATTGTATTTGAGAGTAAAAGGTGGTTAAGTCTGAGTATCATGTTAAACAGTTTGATGCCCTTGTGGCTCCAAGATGAGGTACAGTCATTGCACACCTTGTACCCAACTGTGACATTTTGTAGAGACAAATAATTATCATCATCAAGTTCAGGGGCCCGTTTCACAAAGCCTTTTTCAATGACAAATTACAAAAATAAGTGACAAATCTGCTGATAACCAATCAAAAGCAAGGATTTCAGTAGCTTAGAACAAAAACTGTCCTTTGTCACTGATGGCAAGTTTTGTCAAACGCCTCCCAAATATTTGAGAAAAAATGTTTCATCTTCCTAATTGAGGCCACAAACCCTCATTATCATGAGAACACTAGCCTCCTACATGTATAACAATTAATGACTGTTTGATTGGTTTCAGGTTTCCAGTTTGAGACAAATGGCCAGCTGGCTCTGCACTGAAGGAGGGAGTTGTCTGAATGGTCACGTTACTCCTTCATACGCTGATTTGGCCTAAGTTTCTCCACAAGGCCATGCTGAATATACTATACATCTTCACCGAGTATGACTTCTAAGCTCTACATATTTTTACGACCGATTGTTTAGAGAACTTTGGGAAGCAGACATGCAGCATTAAATAACATTCCGTAATATTTGGTGTTAATGGATTTGATGGCTGGAGAGGGTTAAATTCCTTGTTGTTAATCCAAGTTAACCCTGAATATCTTTTCCTCAGATGGTGTCTCCATCCATTCCAACTCCCTGGTCTTAGATCAGTCTTCATATTATAGACCCTAATCTATTTCATTCTTCTTTTCTTTTGGTTTCCACTTGTACAAACTACAATATTATGAACTGCATTTTATTTACCATTCTGACTCTCACAAAATATTTTCTGTTCGGAACAAATTTAGAATACCCCACCACTAAAATTGACAAAATGTTTGTAGGGTACCAAAAAATTCACCAATGAAGCTAAATCTCGAGACTTAAGCCTTGTAAGTAACACTAAACCTAATCCTAATCCTAACCCTAACCCTAACCCTAACCCGAGGTCTTTGATGTTTATGTACATTAACCTTATTTATATTGGTGGGGTATTCTAAAGTTAAGCCAAACAAAAAAAAACCTCCCCCCCCCCCCTCTTTTTGGGGGGTGGCACCATTGACTTTTTAAAATTGCAATTTAAAAAAAAATTATGAATATCCCCTCTCATTTTTTTTCTTTAACATGCAGGCACATTTCTTCTTTTTTTTAATGAGCATACTGACATTTATATTTTCCCTACCCAATCTGGACCTGGCCTGGGTGGTAATTGTAACAACTGTACTCTTGCTGATATACCGCAGGTACTGGGCACGTACCACCCTATTATGCCACAAGCTCTCGGGGAGGAACGGGGGAGTTTTGTGCCCGCGCGCGCCTGAGCTGAGCGAGGGAATTTGAATGGACTTCAAAGTGTAAGTAACACCTAAAGTCTGCATTTCTCGGTCGTTTCAATCGATATTTCATTTTAAAATCAGTTACATTGACTTTTGTATAAATATGCATACATTTTACAAATTTTGAACAACACTTTACCTTTTGTTTAGCAGCTGAAACAGTTGATTTTTACACCGATTCCACAGCTCACAGGTGCAGGCCTCCTCGACAATCTTGCATCTAGGCTAGTCTCTTCTCAAGTAGCCTTCGACGCCTTCGGATGGCAGCTGCAGCGACGCCACAATGGCATTTTCAGCTTCTTTTTTTTTGGGGGGGGGGGGGGGGGGTGGGGTAGGGGGGATCATCCCTAATCCAAAATTTATTTTGAAAACTTCTGAATAAGCGGGGAAAGGGGTAAGGTGCACTCTTATTTTTGTTTTGCCCCTGAAAATTTGAAAAATCGCACCCCCCTCCCCCTTGAGGCCCAGGGGAGGGGGCCCGTCGCCAGATAAGAGTAAAATTAACGTGTTCTTAACTGTTTTTTCCCAGGGGAGGGGGCCAGGTCCCCGGTCCCCCTCCCTGGATCCGCCACGGGCCCCCCCCCCCCCCACAAAGGTCTAGCGACGCCCCTGAGAACAACACAGTTTATACACTAAATAAACAAATTGCAAGTACTACTGGTGCAGATCACCGTCTTTGTGCATTGTGCAGCAACGCAGCATATACAACGTCTCGCGACAGATCACTTTTCTCTAACTTCTAACCAATCAGAAGGCCTCGTTTTTTTCAGGAAGTGCCGGTGGACATTGGGTTGGTGGACATTTGCGCCAAATGTGGTTCTCAAATGAAGTGCCTGAAAATGCGCCTAATGTGGTTCTAAAATTGCAAATGCTTCCTATACTCACAGAGGGGGTTTCTAACCCTCTCCCAGACCAACCACCGCTTAGTCGCTCCGCTCCCCGCTGACGCCTCGCCGTTGTCGCTTCGCTCCATCATTTTCCATTTCACCCCATGCGATTTTGTGCCCCCCCCCCCCCCGGTAAGAAATTCCTGGATCCGCCACTGATAGTTGCGACCTTGTTCAAGTAGCAAATTTAAACTCGATGGACTTTCAGCCATCAACAGAACTACAAATTAAATTGGAATTTGCGTTTGATGATGGAGTTGCATTATTTTCATCACCACCTCTATAATATCGGATCTACTAATTTGAAGAAAGTGGTTATTCCTCGATAATTTTTAAATGTTGCACTTTAGCTTTGGGACTGAGCTATAGCATGAGTTGACTAAAAGGTTGGCTCGAGATCAGTCACCACACCCTCCCGGGTCATGCACGATCTAACTTATCCTAACCCACTTCACTCGCCCTCGATAACGACATCATAATCGTATATAGCTTGGGAAACTTTTTTTAATCTGGAGGGATGGGGTGAGGAGAGTAAATTCAAACTAAATGGATATATTTCATGGGCAATTTTCCAAGGGGTTGGCCGGGTGGGTCAAAGATACATTTTTTTTTTCCTCCATTTTTTGGACCCTCCAACAGGCCATTTATTGAAAATCAATCTCAAGATAACATATTTGAACACATGTTCCAATGAATATCAAATAATATTTCATAATAAGATATACATAACGAATATCAACCATAATACTGTATATACAGAACATACATGTAGATTAGGGAAAGAAAAACAAAAATTAAATAATAATGCAACATCATGACTGAAGATGATGTGGGAAATTCAATATACTCCTATTAAAGGATCAAAATCCTCTCAAAATTTATCCATTTTTTATCGAATTTGTCAGTTTTGTTAGCAAATATACTAACTTGCCTCTCATTTGTGTAACTATTCTTGATATATTGTTTTATTGTCCGAAAGGACGGTACAGACTTTTGTATTCGAGAAAAATATAATTGTTGTTTAGTCCAAATTATTATACATTTTAAAGCATCATTTCTTTTTTCAATGAAACCTAACAAAACATGTATTAAGGACAGTTTTATTCTACAGCGTGTTACAATAGTTAACCAGTCAGTCAAACAACTCCAAATCAATTTGGTCACGTTACAGGAGTAAAAAAAGTGTACTATATCTTCTTCTTCTCTTCCACAAAGGGAACAGTTAAGTTATTTAAAATTATGTTAATTTTCACAAGATCTTTATTCAAAGATACATGGGCCGTGGCGCGCGGCTTCCTATTGAAAAAAAAATCACTTTGAGATCTAGGATATATATTTTTTTAAACATTGCCTCCCAACCCGGCCCCAACCCCATTTGATAATTTGCGGGTCCACTTTTAGTTTTAAAAAAATAGGGGCACCAGTCATTCATAGAAACAAATCTTAAAACGTATCTGTTTAATTCGGCATTTTATAATTGATTATTGTATGTAATATCTTACTTCTGTTTCTTTGTTTATAATGACGATGCTAATGGGATCTCTTCTTTTCTTTTGTTGTTGTTTTTGTTTGTATCACAAATGCGCCTTTATTTATTAATTTCAAGTTGATTAAATGCCTTAGAAGTGTCATATAATATCATCATCAGTATTTGTTATTATTATTATAATCATTATTATCATTATAATTATTATTGTTATTATTATTATTATTATTATTATTATTATTATTATTATTATTATTATTATTATTATTATTATCACTACACACATTATATAAAACTGTACAAAGAACAAATATAAAACCATATAGCAACTTTCAAAACTATATACACTTTACAAACGAAATCAACATTCATTCGTTTCCTTGCTTATTATGTTACCTCTGTGAATATCGAAATGAACTACTTAACTACAAACAAATTATAACAAAAACAGTCTAGGACAGTTTATACTTCTATTTCATTATATAATCTTTTATATATTTCACTTTTTACTTTTAGGAATAAACATAAAAAATGCAGGAGTGCGGTGGCAAAAATGATATATAATATAATAAAGTTGAACCTTTCCAACCTCTATATCTACATTTGCTCCTACAGTTGAGCACTGTCAGATGTAACAGTTTTAATAAACTTGCTTATGATATATATGTATACATTTTGGTTGGGGAGGGGGGGGGGGGTGATCTCCAAACCCCTTCTAGAATCGCTACTAAGATTAGTCCTTATTCGTGGTCTATAATGTCTGAACGAAAAGTCAGAGCCGCTGCATTCTTCCATAATTATGTTTAGGAAGTTCAACGAGCTGCCGAACAGGATATTCGTGTATTTCGTTGCCTGAACAATTTTTTAATGAATTTTGCAAGCGAGCATATCATGATCTATACCTAAAAACGAAAAGTTTCACCATCAAAACACACTAGGAAGAATTTGTATATATTTGGGCACCCTATGCCATAACACAAGGATAATCGGGCACCTCAATATCCCGAATATAAGGAAATGGTTGCCCGAATGTTGGAACTTTGAAAATCCACCTTAAGAGGTGGGGGGGGGGGGGCTGCAACCCTTAATCACAGCCACGCGTTCCGATGAGATGATTGCTGTTCATAATAGTATGTATTGGTAGGTTTGTCATGAGGCCATCCCGTACTTGAGCTATTATGTCAGAGTTTTATCATTATGGTACAACGGCAATTCGATAAATCAAGAAAGATGCAACAGGAAGAGGAGCATTCACCGCCGAACAAAAATTCCCTTTACTCGGAAAGAAATAGCATTTATTTTCAAGCAAACCCAATTTGAATTGGATATAGATTCAAATTCATTCTGTTATGAAACACAATAGTTTGTTATTACATATTTAACTAAAAGCATAATGTTGTAAAGTCAAAGATAGCATCTACATTTACATATTCTACACCTTAATTGATCGATTTAACATAATACATTTTGTACTGCATCCAAAGTGCTCCTCAAATTAAATGAAAATCACTTGTTTGCTAGTTTATTCTGAAATGTATAGTATAAGATCAGTTAATATAGTAAATTAGTTTCAACAGTTAAGGGCACTGTGTCATTGGCCTCAGACGTTACCGTCAATAGTCTACAGAGACTAACACAGAATACGATAATTAGCGATGTTGTATACCATCAAAAGTCCAAATGACATTCCAGATGAAGATCGTTAACATTATTGTAGATAACTTCTAGACATAGGTAGTTGAACCTGTTGATATAATACATAATTATTTCTGACTCATGTCTCTCAATCCCACACTTGTAGAAGACGTTCCTGTCGTAGTGCTCCCTCGTGCTTTGGATCCGTAAATCTTCTTTCGCCAGAGACCCCTCACCCGTTGGTTAGCGCCAAAGAAGATGAAGACGAAGATACCTTGCAGAGAGCTGGTGATGATGAAGATTGTCCAAACAGCAGCAGACTGGGCGAAGGCGCCGATGAAACCGAATGACCATCCAAAACCAAGCAGGCACGATATCTGAGAGCATTTAGGGAGTGATAGTGAGAAGAGGAAATTATTATAAACAGTGAGGAAGAGAGAACGAGAGAAAGGGAGAGAGAGAGAGAGAGAGAGAGAGAGAGGGGGTGGGGAGAGAGGGAGGGGGAGGAAGAGGGAGAGAAACAGATGCAGAGAGAAGAAGATAGGTCGAATATAAACTCACATATACCGAAGTCACAGTTATAGAGGCAGACGTAAGACAAGCAAATGAGGGAAACATATTGAAAAAAGTGCATAATTATTACCAGATGCAATAAGATGACCAGATACAAATAATAAAATATGAAATCGTAGGAAGAAGAAAAAAATGCTCACTTTTAATCGAATAATTTACAAATTCAGCCGTTTGTAGGTTGGCTCAAATTTTACAGATTTGCGATAGGCAGTAAGGTATACTTATTCTTTCCGGCACCGACACAGCTTTGATTCCAACGATGGTCGGTCTATCCCAACAGTCGTGTATAGTGTGTACATGTATTTAAACTTCATATGGACTATACAAGCTCATTAACAAAGCACTTCCTTAATTTGCTCGAGGACATTCACGAAGAACGATGGGAAGGACCCTGGAATCTCTTTTGAACATCGTATAGAGAGTTCGGAAAGAAAACAATCATAATCAACGGGGGCCCCCTCCCCGCCTATCAGGCCTGTTTCATAAAACTTGATATCAATAACAATATCAATAACAAGCTACTGTTATAAGCTATTGAAATCAAGGCATCTGATTGGCTGAGAGCAAATTTATCATAGAAATTAAGCATTTGTTATTGATGAAAGGTTTTATGAAACGGTAAGCATCGACACACAAACCTTGAAGTGGACAGCCAGCTCCGTGAAAATCTCTTTCCGTCGCTCTTGAACACCTGTATGGAGAACGCTGGAATCACGCTTACTCTTGTGAACACCGTAGGCAGTTAACAAAAAGAAAACGAAGTTGACGAGGAAACTGGCGGCGACAGGTACCAAGAAAGCCAGAACGATAGCCCTGGCTTGGTAGATCCAGCACGATGTCCCGATCTTGCCGTAGCGAAACAGCGAAGGGTTCTGAACTTGAGTAATCAGACAGGGAACGACGATGACGAGAGGAAGACACCAGCCAAAAGTAAAGTAGCAGATGAGACGTGTCTTCTGACTATGTCTCTTGGGTAGGAAAGATGAGGACGCGAAGCAACGAAAAAGGTCGTACGCCAAGATGTTCGTCCATGCGAAGATAGCGAGGAGAAAATAATGAGTGATGATAGCTGCTATCGTACACACGGTTGGCAAAGATACCATGTTGGGAGCGATGAACTGGAGCATCAACTTTGGAAAAACAAAAATATTTATGATGATTTACAGACAATCTGGATACATTTTAGACAGGTCATTGCACGCAGCGTACGAGGGATAGTGAAATGTTATAACAAAAATTATATTCCATTCGAAGAAAAGGAGACTTAACAGGAATTTAATTCCCTAAATATTCCGCACGCCCCTATGCTTGGGGGTAGTTGCCCCCAGTTGCCCCCACCCCCAATAAAATTTAAAAGTGTTTTATTTCTAATTCGATACCGCCAGTGATTTACAAATGTTGCTAAAATGACATGATTTTCCGGGATGTTTTCTCTATTCTTTTTGTAAATTATATTTTTTATGCGTTTGTTGGAAACTCACAAATTCCAAAATTTACAGTCAGGCAAAACATATGCTTATTTTGAAGCCTTCATGTCAGGGCCTGCAGAATGGCGGGGCTCAGTGGGAGGGGGGGGGGGGACTCGCGCCCCCCTCACTTAAAAAAAGGACTTAAAGAGAAAAAGAAAGAAAGAATAGTGACCTGCCACTCTGCCAGTGTCACAACACGTTGGCTCCGTCCCCTGGACCCCATCAAGGGCCTTAAAGCGGATGCCTATCTGACCGTTATTAAATACCTAAAACCCCTGAGCTTCCGCGGGCTCGATCCCCTGTATCCTAGCAAGCGCACTATTAGATGGCCACTGGATGCTCATCGGACCGTAATAAAATATCCAAAACCCCTGAGCTTCCGACCAAGGGCCCTATGGCGGCCCTCTGGATGTTCATCTGATCGTAATCAAAGGCCTCAAACCCCTGAGCTTCATGGAGCTCAGCCCCCTGGATTGACCCCACGCCAATAGGCGACCTGCCATTGTCACAATAATAATAAGGCATCGAAATATGCCAATCTGACGGTAATTAAATGCCTAAAACCCCTGCCCTTCATGGGGCTCAGCCCCCTGGACCCCACGCCAATGAGTGACCTGCCATTGTCGCAAATACGGTTTCTTAATACGTTTATCTGATCATAATTAAAATGCCTAAAACCCCTAAAAACCGCTACGCTCTACCTGATTGTTAATACTCCACTTTGAAAAAACGTTCTGCGGTGCCTGAATGTAACATAAAAATAGTCGGTGGTGATGCAGATTTTACTTCTGCCCCGAACATTTTTGCTCATATACGCCACTGCCCCTGAAAGGTGAGCCCCCTGGAATGTTTGTCCCCTCCCCGAATCCCAAACTGCTTCCGGCGCGCCTGCCCGTATCTCAAGAAGAATAATTGTAGGCACGAACGGAAAATTGAAACCTGCATCTGCACTACTCCTGTTTTCATTATGATCTAAACTTAAATCGAATTTCAAGGCCAATTTAGTCTGGGCTATTTATTTACAAATCTCGAAAGCAAATGTGAGCTTTGATATTCATTTTGTCTGCAAGTAATTATTGTTAAAAATAATTAATGAAGGTTCATAGACAGTTTACTCCTGGCACTAACCTGCGCAACAAGAAGGGCCGACACAAAGCTCATGATGGATAGGCCTTGGAGGTTCCTCAGAGGCTTGAAGATACAGTAGGTGATCAACGTCGCCAAGAGACAGATGGAGGACAGAACAAGGAGTATGAGGTTCAAAATATACTGTCCTTTGGAGTACTGGAACATGCTGACAGGTTCTGGAGGATCGGGTCCAGTCCAGCATAGACGGACAGAGCCATTCAGGTAACGAACGTAGCTCTCTGGAGGAAATGAGATGTCCTGGTATATCTGAGAGTGACAAGATAATGTACATGTATGACGATATGGTGAATTATTTTCATGAAGTGAATAAATTGTAGAGGTGATAAACTTTCATGATGAACAGTATTCTTTAATATTTCGCATGGGTTACAATCCATTAGCGTTCGATAACTTAGATAACAGAGATTTTAAATTTGCGATTGATTGGATAACTTGCGATCAGTCCGGATCGATGAAACTCTTTATAAGACAGGGCCCTAATGACATAAAATCATTTTGTGTTAAAGATCAATCGCTTTCGTGGATAACGTCACATATTAGAACACTGATGAAGAAAAGAGATAATATTCATAGAAAATTTTTGAAAGTAAAGAAAAAGATTTTATTGCAAAAAGATTCCCATTTAAATACAATGTGTGAAGAATTATGGTCAAAGTACACCAATCTAAGGAATGAGGTCAATATATGTATGTTTAAAAGTAAAACTGAATATTTAAAGAAAGAAATCAAGAAAAATGTAAACGATGTTTCAAAGATGTGGAAATGTTTAAAGTTATTATTACCAACAAAATCCTCATCATTTCCTTCCATTCTTTACGACAATGATATGGTGTTTAATAACGATGACGCTATTGCCAATGCTTTTAATGATTATTTTATTCGAATAAATGCTAAGCTCGCGCAAGAGATGAATGTCATACAAGCCGACGAACATGATATTGGGGATGTTTTTAATTGCTATCCTTCCAATTATGTTTTTGACTTTGTTTCCACCAATGAAAGCTATGTTGAAAAATTGATTTCAAACTTGGATTCTAACAAAGCAACAGGGTCTGATGATATTAATATTATCTTCCTAAAAAAGTCTAAAGCTTTTATTGTACCAACCATTACTCAATTGATTAATTTGTCTTTTTCAACAGGAGTCTTTCCCAATGATTGGAAGTATGCAAAGGTTTTTCCGTTATTCAAAAAAGGCGACATTAACAATATTGGTAATTTTCGTCCAATTTCCATCTTACCTGCAATAAGTAAACTCATTGAAAGGACTGTTCATCAGCAATTGTATGATTATTTAATAGAACATAATATCCTCAGTAAGACGCGGTTTGGGTTCCGGCCAGGTCATTCTACAGCCTCGGCTCTTGGGGCTTTAACAGACAGTTGGTTACACTGCATAGATAAAGGCCTCATTGTAGGGGCTCTTTTTATTGATTTAAGACGAGCTTTTGATACGGTTAATCCAGATATTTTGTTAAATAAGTTAAAGAAAATAGGTTTGGGTAAGTTATCATTAGCTTGGTTTGACTCGTATTTAAATAATAGAAAACAATATGTTGCTATAAAAGATTCTAAATCAACTGATCGCTGTATTTCTGTTGGAGTTCCACAGGGATCTATTTTGGGCCCGCTCCTATTTTTGATTTATGATATGTCAGAAGTTTTGAAACATGGAAAAATTGTAATGTATGCCGACGATACGACACTTTATGTAAGTGGACCCACCTTTTCGGATGTACAAATTAAATTGCAAAGTGATTTTAATGTTATATGTAGATGGATAAAATGTAATAAACTCTATTTGAATGTTGATAAAACCAAATTTATGATCATCGGAAATAAACAAAGATTAAACCATTTTAAAAATGACAGTATTATATTAAAGTATGAAGATATATGTGTTGAACAATGTAAGATCTTTAAATGTCTAGGTATTATGATCGATGAAAACTTATTATGGTCTGATCATGTAGATTATTTATGTAGAAAAGTGTTTGCCGGACTTGCCATGCTTAGAAGAGTTAAACCATTATGTAGATGACATTTCATTGAAATTATTATACACATGTCTCATACAATCACAAAATGATTATTGTTGTGAAATTTGGGGAAACAGGTTTTTAAGTCATATAGATAAGATAACTAAACTACAAAAGAGGGCTGCAAGAATGATTTTAAACTGTAATATGTATACCCCATCAAAGGAATTATTTACTCGCATGAAATGGATACCATTTCAAGAGAGGGTTAAATATTTTAGATGTATATTTGTTTTTAAATGTCTTAACGATTTATCTTCAGACTTTCACAAAGATGTTTTTCAAGAAGTATCAACTCAACATAATTTTTACACACGGCAATGTACTCGTCATGACCTGATTATTGATAAATGTCATACTGAATACCTTAAGAATGCAATAAGTTATGATGGTGCTTTTCTATGGAATAAATTACCTTCTAATATTAAGCAGATAAGTAATGTAAAGACCTTCAAATTGGCACTTAAGATATATTTTTCCACCTTGCTGTTGAATCAGGATAGGTTTTGAGGAACACCTTTTTTAAAATTATTTTTTACTGCTAGTCTGCCTCTATTTTTTCTTTAAGCTCTCTCTCTCGCTTCTTTTACTTAATCCTTTACTCTCTTAGCAAGTGATCTATTTATAATAGCATTCATCATAATTGACACTGATTAATATGTTTGATATTGTATATTTATTTTCAATATGTAATACTGTTCTATTAATGTATTCATACCTAATTGTTTGTTTTATCTTTTTAATTGTATATACATGTTTTACAGGGCCTCATGGAAGACCAACTTTTTGTTGAATGGGCTACCCTGGTGAAATATAAATAAATAAATAAATAAAACATACTATTGATTGTTTACGCACCATTATTTTTTCTAACGCTTTACGCAAAATATTATGGTTATATGATCAGGGTTTTTGTAAGTTTGGGGGTAAGTCTAGGTAAGTTTAGGATAGGATCACCCCAATACAAACCCCATTCATGAATGGTTACGTTTTGAAATAACGAACGACAAATGAATGATGTGTATTCCAGTAACTATTGTGCCAACTATTGGGGAAATAGATGCCCAACCCTATACATGTGACCACATCACATAGGCCCTATCCTATTAATCTCGCGGAAAACACAATATTGCCTTAATATCTAACCTGACAAATATTATAAACGTTTAAACTTACCAAATAGGTAACATTGTCTCTTTCATTTTCGGTGATGAGAGAGTCTCCAACAATGATAGCAGCGCATGTGTCTATGTCAACGACCTTACCATAAAGCGAGAAGGACAGTTGCTTGGTGAAATTCCATTTGTTTGAAAAACGTGAGAAATAAGTGTCGTTTTCCCACAAAAATGGCGTCACGAAAGTGGTGTCATTATACATGATATAAGCTGTCCCATTGATGTCCACCGGTTTAAATAAATGGGGGTCATCTACAATGCGAGATAGATTACTTCTATTACCCATGACTATTTCATAATCAATGTTACATCTTTCTCGGATGATGATTTTGCTATCCGGGCAACTCTGTTCCTGTGTTTCATCTAAGCTGTATTCAATAAAGTCTTCCAGTTCACTCGTGTGCGGTAGGATGTCAGCAGGAAACTCTAGGAAGGTTGTGAAATACCCGTCAGAGACATCATAATCGAATTCATAGCTCGACATGACCGGACTTTCGATGTTCATGAGAGTTTTCATGTATTTGAAACGTTTGAAGCCACCGTAGCACTGCATGTAACCATTGGCGATGACAGCAAAGATGACGCTTCTGTTCTTGCAATCTGGCCAGGAACTGACTTCTGGGATGCATTCGGTTCCAGATAATCGAAGGCCATTCGTACATCGCAGCTCTGGATAAAAGTAAGCGGTGCTAAAAACGGGGACTTTATCAGATCTTGACGCTCTACATTGTGATTCGTCGTTGTCTACTAGCATTCCATTGCACATTGCACAATCAGCGTTCCTGTAGATAGTACCATTGACCATCAATCTTTGCTCGCTTTCGCTCGAACAAAGTAATTGTGAAATTCGGTCTGCTAATCGTGAATCGCATTGTGATACGATGGCGGAATCATCGACACATGAACGAGGAGCAGGAGGGTAATTCCCGTCAATTTTGAACGGTTGCTGTCCACAAAACGTATCCACATTCGGTGGGTTGTCCTGACAAGGTGCAAAAACAACGTAAGGGGTGAGTTCCGATGAGTTTACGCCGTGGCAAAGAGCACAATACCTGTTGCGGAAGAAGATTTTCCGGGAGTCAACAAAGACAGTGTCATTCGCCATCGGGTGCTCACATCTCCATACCAACTCGGGGTCAGGTCCAGCTAAAGATGGACACCTGTCCACTACAAAGTAATTGTAAATGCAAGATGTATTCTGTGCGACGCCGATGGTAAATCGGGTGCAACTCCAATACTGCTTATCCAGAATCATGGTGTAAGGTTTCTCGAATGTGCGTGATGATCCATAGCAACAATCTTCGAAGAATAGGCAGCTGGCAGTACAGGAGCAATAGCTACCTTCGATAGTACTTGAATTCATCTCACATTCCTTAATGGAGACAGTGAAGGTGACGCACTTATCAGAATCTGCATAACAAAGTACAAAATTAATCATTAATCCCGTTGCACACGGCCGGCGTCATTTCGACTGCATTATTTCCATTTTTGAACTATTCGTTTTGCAGTCACTATGGGTTTTTTTCTCGATTTCACTCTCATAATAATCATAACTCAAAAAAATTTCATACACACAGGACCAAACTACTGGAGCAACATTGATCCGAATATCAAACAGCTTAAAAACTGTGGCAGCTTCAAAAAACATATTAAATTGTTATTATTGAATTCGTACGTGTCATGCACAACTAAACTATTTTTTCCCCGACTGTGACTCCCGACCCTGAATATTCTATTCTAAAAATTCCTTTTCTCTCTTCTCATTCTCCTTCCGACTCCCATTCTTTACCATCTCTTCCTATTTCTCTTTTTTTTTGCATCCTTCATCCATCATCAGGGGCGGCGATTTCTTTTCATGGCCGGGGGACGAAATGTGAGGGACGAGGATGCAGTGGCGTAATGAGCAAAAACGTTGGGGGGGGGGGGGGGGGGGGTTATAAAAAAACTGCATTACCACCACTCTCACATGTTACGCAGGCCCTGGCAACGTTTTTTTCAAAGTGGGGAGGGGGGCTAGGTATTTACGATCAGGTAGAGCAAAGCGAGCGAAGCAATGGAGCGTAAATTGGCGTGGGGTCCAGGGGCAAAGCCCTGGCGGGGGTCAAGGGGCGGAGCCCCATGAAACTCAGGGGTTTTTTAGGCATCTAATTGAGGTGAGATGAGCGTCCATGGGGCAGATCCCCCGGGAGTTCAGGGGTTTTAGGAATTTAATTACGGTCAGAGTAGCATATTTTGATACCTTATTTGTGACTAGCACTGACATGCAGGTCACTAATTGGAGTGGGGTACAGGGGGCGGAGCCTCCAGAAGCTCAGGGGTTTTAGGCATGTAATTACGATCAGATGAGCATCCAAGGACCGCCTCAGGGCATTTAATTGGTGGGGTCCAGGAGGCAGAGCCCCCGGAAGCTCAGGGGAAAATGCCATTTCAGCAACATTTGTAAATCACTGGTATCGAATTAGAAATAAACCATGTTTGAATTTAATTTTTTTGAGGGAGAACTTCCCCCAAGCTCCCCCCCCCCCCCCATCACCATCAATACGCAAGTGCGAGGGAGCATAGTGAATGAGAGGGGTGAAGGTGACGGAAGTTACAATCCTCTCACAGGTTTTGAAGTTTTGGTTGTATCAAAAAACTACATTCCTTAGCAAAACTATAGTATAAAAACAAGCAATATACTTTTTCCACACTTCACTTTTCTCGGTATTTACTCATACATTTTGAAGGATATTATGCGAGGGAGCGTAGCTGCTGAGTGAGAAAATTTTTGCATTTTTATTTGTCTAAACGCTACACTATTGGGCCCTCCAGAGCCTAAAAGTGTGTTGCAATCTTTAGTCAGTATTTGCTATACATTTTTGGGGCACTTTTTTCAAATTTTTGAGGGGGGACGATCCTCCCCTAAAAAAATTGAGGGGGGGATGTGTCCCCCCGCCCCCCCCCCCCCGGGATCGCCGCCCCTGTTCATCATCATTCCACAGTTTGTGTCTGTTTTGTGCTGCGCAAAGATTCAGTCAGCTTAATTTTGGCCATTAAAAGAAGTGGGTTATTGATGTGGACAAATGCTCATGTACCCTTTACAGCTCATTTTATGTATGTTATTACCAAAGAAGAAAACAGCCAGTCAGTCACTCAATAGTGTCTGACAGTGAAACCTAGCAAGTAAACGGGTTTCCTTGCATAATTTGAATATTTAGACTCTGCTAACGTTTAAATTTCCCAGATATGACATACGTGATATATTCATAATTCCTGCAAAGTTCTACAGTATTTGATGTTGGCTTCAAAAGGGATACACTACCTTTAATATATGCCACTAATTTATAGCGAAAGAGAGCAGTTTTTCTTTTATTTCCCATAAAACTTACTTGCTACGCTAGCTTGCAATCATATTAGGCCTATCTCATTAAGTAAGACTTTTCTAAAGTCTTATTCATTCTTTCAGATAGGATTGTTCTTAAACCACCATTGCGAGTGGCGCAAATTCGCAAATGAATCTTCGAACAATTACACACATTGACAACTGCAAAAGTATGTTGCTGAAGCAGTGTCTTGGATCACGTTATGAATAAATGTTGGAGATCATCAATGGTAATGTATTAATCACAAGGTAGTTATATTATACAGTTATTGACTGGCAGGGGGTGTAATATTATACAAATAATGAATGGTTATGAGTTCAATAGTGCGAATATTTTCATGAGTTGAAAGATTAACATTCTATTCAACGAGGCGTCAGCCGAGTTGAATAGAATTAATGTTAATCTTTCAACGAATGAAAATATTCGCACCATTGAACGAATGAAAAACATTCATTATTTGTTTTATACAACACCGAAGAAGATCCGACGTTAATCAACAAAATTATGCTTTACTCCTTATATTAAAGATAAATTCAAGTTGGATTCAAGCCTTCTCGATTACATTCAGATTGCCTTCGCGTCAGATACACGCAGGGATACGCGCGCGCACGGCAGAGAGGTACGCAGTCTGCATATAACCAAAAATGCACGGCGCATATAACCAAAAATGCACGACCGTGCAATATACCATCTATTGAATATCATGTGACCAACAATCCTCCAATCAAATGACAGGGATCCACGTAGGTGTTGTATAAAACATTATTTGGACCGCTGAAGGGAGTTATATTTCCCAAGTGGTTATATTTTCCCGAAGCGCGCAGCGCTGAGGGAAAATATGGTAACGAGGGGAAATATAACTCCCTTCAGGTCCAAAGAATGTTATATACCCCCTGCCAGTCAATAACTGTTATATTAGATAGCCCTTTTTTTGGGGGGGGGGTCGAAAAAAAATTCCCCTTTTTTTCGGAAATTACGGAAAAATAATCTGTCGAGATGGTTCAAGAAAGAAAAAAAACCTTACAAAAAAAAAAATTATGAAAAAAATTTTGGGAAAAAATAAAAATAAAAAAATTCTTACCCAAAAAAGCATTTTTCGGGAAAAAAAAAAATTACCCCAAAATTAAAGTATTTTTTGGAAGAAAAAGAAAATGTGGAAAAATAATTTTACGGGAAAAAAAAATTCATGAAAAAAAAATATTGAAAAAATTAAATGACCCTCGGTAATGGTTTAATGTGTGTAATTGGTGACATACAGTCCTCAAGAGGGCGACATGCATTGATTAAAAATATATTAATTTCACCAGCTGGTTAATATAACACCGAAAAGTGACCGGCCAGGAAAATATAACAATTTGGATCCTCACAATTGATATCACGTGACGAGCTCTGGACCAATTACATCTCGGTATCTGTCTAAGCTATCTAATATATATACCAATGTGTAAACTTTGTTTCAGTATTTGAACCCTTTGGCAGTGCCTCCCTCTCCCCCCCCCCCCCCCAGAAATTACTCTTTTTTTTTGTTGGTGCACACCCCAAACTGAAAGACATTCGGACGCCCCTGTAGTCAAGAGAGATGAATCCATCGATATATTTTCGGAAGGAAACATGTGTTTTAAAACGCCAATATTCAAGTTTATTCGATATGATTGTAGGCCTACAAGACATAGTTACTGAGGAGGTTACGATCATAATTTCAAGACCATAAATCCTACAAGACATGAGATTTATGGCTATTTCAATGTCGAGTGTTAAGTTCCACTTGATCGTCACCAATCTATGCGCCATGCCGAGTCTTTCCTTGAGCCAAGGTAGAACGACACTGAAAGTGGCCCCTGCCCTCCTTCTTAAATTAGGCAATATACCTAATGTACCAAACCGTCTTATATTAGGCATATTGCCTAAAATAGCGGGCCTTGTGAAATATCGCCATCTTGCGGCGGCACGGTGTAAATATTTGAAAGTGAACACCAGGTGTCTTATAGAATATGCTTTCTTTACTTCTAAATAGAATTGTTACCCTGTACGGTACTTCACTTCGTTGTAGATGAATATTGATATCAAAATACTGTACTGATTTGACATACTCCTGTACTCAAGAGGTTATGTCATAAAAAGGAATCAATTTAACAGGGTTAATTTGCTGCTACCCCCCCCCCCCCCATCTCTCTCTCTCTCTCTCTCTCTCTTCCCCTTTTTTCGAATCCTCATTTACAGCCAAAATTACGAAAGGAGAATATGATAATTTATACTCTTCGAAGATAATTTGGGGAAAGGGAATTTTTTTTACACAGATTAATGATTGGACGATACAGTTTTGAATGAATGCATGTAATAAAAAAATAAAAAAATTGATAGCCCATTTTCAAATACGAATAACTAAAAAAGACTGAACCCAGAAGGTGATTTATTAATGGTTATTGCTTTGAAAGCGTGGTCACACTTTTCGTTTTGAATGGCGCATATAGAAATGGTTGCCAGTGTTATATATGGTTTAGAGTGGCAGTGCGCCCTCTTGTGTTATGTACTGACTTGACAACCAGAATGAAGATTACTAGAATAAAGCACTAACCAGTTGAAGTTGTAAACTTTAAACAGACTTTATTGCCTATTATGTAGAGTCAAACAAAAGCATAAAACATGGTGTCAGAAGTGTAGTGACCATGGACTCATTCCTGAAATCGGCGTGCAGCCAGGAAGAATAATTTACAGAGTCGAACTGTTCACGTTCCGAGCAAGTTTGCAGCAACCGAGTACACGCGAAGTCGTCGTACAGTGGACAGATTAGCGAATGGTTCGTAGCATAGCATCCATAAACGCGACGTCGTTGAGCAGCGGTGAATATGACTTATGAACATTGTCGCAATAGACTTGACTCGTCAGTCGATGTAATGTGAACTATCAATAATAATTACGATGTTTAGTTATTTTGGTTGTTTTACGTGTGCATTGTTTGGAATGAAATGGTGTGGATTTATGGAAAGAGTGCATTAATATCAGAATTAATACTCGATAAGTCCAATCAGTCTGGTTCATTCAGTGGGTTTAGCAGTATAGTTTACTCCGTTTTAGAATTTGCTGATTTGTTACTGTAAGTGTAATTGTATAGGCGGTAGAGATAACCATGTCTAACACTGAGGTAGTACAAGATCCTCCCCAGAGGGGAAGTGAAGAGTCAGAAGGAGTAAATGAAACTGGGACTAACCAGGGTCAGGTCTTGAGTGATAACAATACTGATAATGATAGTGTTAGGACCAGAAATAGGCCGGGCAGTACAAGTAGAACAAATGTGCCACTCCCAAGACCTCTTTCGGTAAAAGGGGATATGAAGAAAAACTGGGGTATTTTCACCCAGATGTGGGACAGTTATGAGGTCATAACTGGGTTAGAACACGAAAGTAATAAAATTCGTGTGGCACATTTCATAACGGCACTAGGAACTGATGCATTGGAGATTCAACAAGGCCTCCCTTTCAGAAATGAGGAGGAAAGAAAGAGTTATAAATGCATAAGAAAACTCTGGTCTGAATATTGTGTCGGGCAAACAAACATTACTTTTGAAAGATATCAGTTCAATAAGTGTGTTCAGAATACTGATGAGTCAGTTGAGAATTATTATGTGAGGTTAAGGTCTCTTGCAAGTACTTGTGAGTTTGGTACTCTAACTGATGACCTCATCAGAGATCGAATCGTTCTAGGGATTAGAGACGATAATACAAGAAAACGTCTTTTGCAAGAGCCAATTCTTACTCTGTCTAGTTGTTTGGATATCTGCAGAGCTATGGAGTCGTCCAAAGCTCAGAGCAAAGCCATGCAGGAACCAGTATCTGCCTATGCAGTGTCCCATAAACCAAAGGTTTGGAAGCATAGTGGGGGTAAGGGCAAGAAGCTAGCTCCTAAATTGATTAATTGTGGTTTCTGTGGTAAGCAGCATGAAAAAGACAAATCAAAATGCCCAGCTTATGGCCAAAAGTGTAAGCTGTGCAAAAGAGAAAATCATTTCGCTGTGAAATGTAAACAGAATAAGAACAAGGCTCACAGAGTAGAGACAATTGAAGAGGATGAAGATTCTGAACAAGAGTGTGTATATGTTTCTCTGATAGGCACAGATGAAGCATTTCAGGTATCTGCTGATAGTAAGAGTCCAAATTATCAGAAAAAGATCATTGCAAAGTTTAGAATCAATGACGAAGACGAGATTGGTATGCAGGTTGATTGTGGAGCGACATGTAATGTTATCCATCTAGAAGATGTTCCATCTGGGACAGAGTTAACTAGTACAAATCAGGTTCTGATTGTGTATGGTCAAGGAACAGTACCAGTGGCAGGGAAATGCAAGTTGCATCTTAGGAATGTAAAGAATAACAAGAGGTACTTAGTTCCATTTGTTGTTGTGAAGGGCGAAGTCACAAGACCACTGTTGGGAGCTAGTACAGGCCAGCAGATGAAGTTGATCAAAGTACAGTATGAAAACATTGAAGTTGTTCATGCAGTAGCTAATGATGATATTCTGATCCCATACAAGGATGTATTTACAGGGTTGGGTAACATGCCAGGAGTAGTTCATTTGACCTTAGAGGCTGAGGCAAAGCCAGTAGTGATGCCCCCTAGAAGGGTCCCTCTTTCAATTAAAGAAGATTTGAAAGAAGAGTTGTGTAGGCTTGAAAAGCTGCAGGTGATTGAGAAGGTAGAAGATCCTAGTGATTGGGTATCTAGTCTTGTAGTAGCTAGGAAACCAAGTGGTAAATTGAGAGTATGCATCGATCCGCAACATCTTAATAGGTCGTTGAAGCGTGAGCATTACCCATTGTCAACGATTGATGATGTCCTACCACAGTTAGCGAATGTGAAAGTTTTCAGCAAGGCCGACTTGAAGGAAGGTTTTCTACAATGTAAGTTGGACGCAGAATCATCCAAGCTTACAACATTTCAGACACCTTGGGGTAGATATAGGTTTCTTCGCTTACCCTTTGGTCTATCACCTTCGCCTGAGCTCTTCCAGAAGCGCCTAGATCAGTGCCTTGAAGGCCTACCAGGAGTATTCGTCATAGCAGATGACATTCTCATAACTGGACAGGGTGAGACACATGCAGAGGCCTGCATAGACCATGATCGTAACATGACTAGTTTCCTTCGCCGATGTCGCGAGCGAGACATCAAGCTGAATTCTAGCAAGCTTGAGTACAAATGTAAGGAGGTGCAGTTCATTGGTCACCGACTGACCAAGGAAGGTGTTCGGCCCGATCCTAGCAAAGTCGCAGCTCTCGTTGACATGCCACAGCCAGTAGATATACCTGGAATCCAGCGATTTGTGGGAATGGTTCAATACTTAGCAAAGTTCTTGCCATCATTGTCGGGGCTCAGCGAACCGTTACGTAGGTTGACCCACAAGGACACTCCCTGGAACTGGGGAGAAGAACAGTCTAGAGCGTTCATCGCGATCAAAGGACTTGTTACAGAAGCACCGGTTCTCCGATACTTTGATCAGCAGTTGCCGGTAGAGGGTCAAGGTGATGCCTCACAAAAGGGCCTGGGTTTCGTGTTGACTCAGAATGACCAACCGGTGACATACTCAAGTAGAGCGTTGACTGAGGCCGAAACTAGATATTCTCAGATCGAGAAGGAACTTCTTGCGCAAGTTTTCGGACTTGAAAGAAACCATCAGTACGTGTACGGTAGAAAGGTGATCCTTTGGACAGACCACAAACCGCTAGTGACAATAACGCGTAAACCATTGGCTTCTACACCAAAGAGACTGCAAAGATTACTATTGCGAATGCAACAGTACAATGTAGAGATCTTCTACAAGCCGGGTAGAGAGATGTACCTAGCAGACACCCTGTCGCGAGCATACTTACCGAACTCCGAGCAATCGCCGACAGAGAAAGAAGTTGAAAGCATTCACATGCTTGAGGACATAGCGGTGTCGCAGAAGACGTTAGCGCTCATCAGGATTGAAACGCAACAGGATGAAAGCCTACAAGCGGTAAAGGGACTGATCCTTGAGGGGTGGCCCGAAGACAAGTCTCGTCTGCCACCTGGGACTTCTCCATACTTTGACATCCGTGATGAACTAACGTATGATGAGGGTATAATCTTCCGCGGACAGCGTTGTGTAATTCCTGTCAAAGTGAGACCTCGTGTGAAACAGCGACTTCATAGCGCACACACAGGAATACAGGCCACACTCGCAAGGGCCAGAGAATGTGTATTTTGGCCAGGGATGACAAGCGATCTTACAGACTATCTCTCACACTGTGAAGTCTGTGCAACCTTTGCTCCGAAGCAAAGAAGTGAACCTCTGATCAATCATGACTTGCCGAAACGTCCGTGGCAGAAACTCGGTATAGACTTATTCGAGTTGAACAACAAGAACTATGTTTGTGTTGTGGACTATTTCTCAGACTACTTCGAAGTTCTTCCTCTGCCACACAAGAAAGATACCAGAGCAGTCGTCAGGCGACTAAAGAGCATTTTCGCATGTCACGGTATCCCAGAAACCATTATGTCGGACAATGGTCCCCCATTTAACTCTCAAGATTTCGCGACCTTCATGCAGGAGTATGAGATTGAGCACATCACGAGTTCCCCATATTATCCCAAGAGCAATGGGAAAGCGGAGAGTGCCGTCAAGATTGCGAAGGGTCTCTTACGTAAGACAACTGAAGCTCAAGAAGATTTTCAGCTAGCTCTTCTAAATTGGCGTAACACACCCACAGCAGGACTTGATAGCTCGCCAGCTCAACGCCTGTATGGTCGTCGCACTCGCACTCTTGTACCAACCGCGTCCAAGCTTCTGATTCCACGCACACAAAATAGAGTTGTCGCAAAGAAAGCGGAAAAGCAGAAGAAGCAAAAGCAGTACTACGATAAGAGCACGAAAGAGCTACCACCATTGAAACGCGGAGATATTGTTCGTGTTCAGCCGCAGTCTAACGCACAGAGTAAGCGATGGCACAAAGCGAGAGTAGAGAAACAAGTTGATTCCAGATCATATCTAGTCAGGTCAGAGAATGGCAATATAGTTCGACGAAACAGGAAGCACTTGCGCACATGTAGTAGCACATTCAGTGACCAGTCAGATATATTCTCCACGCCTACTAGCGTAACTCGCGAACAACCAGAGCCATCAACATCCGAAGCGAAGCGTAGCGACACAAATTCACCAGATCACGTAGCGAAGTCTCCTCGTCGCGAAGCAAATAATGATATTCGCGAACCCCAGCTTGCTGAAGAGACTCAAGAACCACCAAGACCAGCTCGCCGTAGTACCAGAGCTCGCCATCCACCAGCTCACATGAAAGATTTTGTTGTTTATCATTAAATAAACATTATGTGTAACTACTTTATATAGATGTAGACAGACAACTATATATTTGTTTCATTAAGAGAAAGTTAATTGTTTATACAGGAAAGTCACCTGTTAATTAACAAGAAAGAAAGTTAGTATGTTGTTTATATTGATTGGTTGATGTTGTTTAGACAAATCAAAACAAAAGTATTTGATTTTGGATCTATTTGAAATTTGATGAAGATGATACATAATCTAAGCCAGTGTTCCAAAGGACTAATCGAGAGAAAACAGAATTTAAGCTCATATGTATTGTCTCAAAAGAACAACAAAACCACTCAAGTGTAATTATGCATCCATGCTGAAGTTGATTTATTATGATACTATTTCTATAAACACAGATATTTCCAGAGGATTTATAATTAGATTTATGTGTACTGACATGGGCATTCATATATGCATTTCAGGCCGACAAACTAATATACAGGTATTAACTTCTTAAAGAAGGAAGGATGTTATATATGGTTTAGAGTGGCAGTGCGCCCTCTTGTGTTATGTACTGACTTGACAACCAGAATGAAGATTACTAGAATAAAGCACTAACCAGTTGAAGTTGTAAACTTTAAACAGACTTTATTGCCTATTATGTAGAGTCAAACAAAAGCATAAAACAGCCAGAACAGTCAAACTGTTCGACTGAGGAATTTCAAATCGGAACAATGATATTCCACGCACATTTCGTGTTAAATTGAATGGTCTGATTGATTTAAACAACTGAAGATGAAAATTGGTGAATTGACAAGGGCAACCTACAGGCCTCGTGATTGCTTAAACAACTTGTTTCGCCTTGAGCAAACCATGGAGTTACTAGCCTGATGCAGGTGCCGCCCGTATTTTTTATAAGAGGGCGAGAGAGAGAGAGAGAGAGAGAGAGAGGGGGTAGAGAGAGAGAGGGGTAGAGAGAGGGAGAGGGAGAGGGGGGCAGAGAGAGGGAGAGGAGGTAGAGAGAGAGAGAGAGAGAGAGAGAGAGGGGTAGAGTTCAGCCATCCCCATGTTAATTACATTATTTTGAATATTGTTGTAATGTGATAGACAAGATGATCGGGAGATTCACTAGAACATAATAGTGTTGCCGAAAAGTCAACTGAAAAGCTTTAAACAAGCGAGCAAGTAACAAAAATAAGGTTCAACAAATTTGCCGATGAATAAAAAAAAACCTAAGTGTGCCGACAGACGTTTCCATTTTCCCCAAGTTAAAAACCCATGAATTTTGTATAGTTTCCAACTAATGATTATATTTCTTTCCAAGTACATAAAAGCTCACAAAATTCGTTTGATTATTTAAACAGAACAGGGGGAATTACATCCCCACACCCCTTAAAGCGAAATCCCCTGAATAGACGATGATTTCGAAAGTATGATGATGAGTCAGGCTTTAAACATTGTTCTGCTCAACTTGATTAAAACCACTAAATAACCAAAACAAAATTGATGGGATACTCACCAGCAGGACAAATCAAATATGAAAAGTCATCATCATCGTTTTCTACAGTATACCAAAAGAAGGAGAAGAGAGAACTGGTTTAATTGAGGGTTAGGTGATTTACTTCATGAAAAAAGCAAGAAACCCCAGTCACCAATGGCGTAGTGTGGTTCAACCCATAGAGGGGGGGGGGGGCAGTCGCATCATTGGAACGGCACCAAGATGTCTTTCTACCTGCTGAATGAAATATAAATTATCAAAGTAAGTAACAATACTAGAGTATTTAGAAAAGTTTGAATGCATTTATAGTTGGACGTATTATGAATACCAAAGTAATTAAGATGGTAATCAAAGATAAATAAGAAAGTAACTGAGGGGTAAAATGTATGAATGCATTTGTAGTTGGACGTATCTATTCCTTACCGCTCCAGCTGGAAGACCAGGACGAAGACGAGGACGAAGACGAGGGCAGTCGAATCTCGAACTTGCTCGGACCCGATGAGGACGTGTTTCCGTCAGCAGAACCAAAATTCGGATCTAAATTAGAACAGTCACAAATTGATGTTATTTTTAGTAAGAATAGCAGAAAAATCACGCGTTTCGAAGCCATTCTATCCATTGCAAATCTATTCATCAGACAAGTGATAAACGTTTTTTCCAAAATAAACGTTATAATAAACTAATGGATCACTTTACATCGCCAAGGCATATATATATATATATATATATATATATATATACCCACCTTCAAAAATAAACGTTAAATATTGAATTTCGTGACCAGGCCACAGGTGTTCACCAGCTTTCACGTGATTAGTTTTTTGGTTTATCTAAATAGGTCACTGACCCTCACCGCCCCCATCAAGGATGACAGAAATGTACTCATTCAATTCAATTCAATTCAAAAATGGTTTTTATTATAGCACAAACATGGTTCATACAAAGACAATTTTACATGAAGGACAGCCATGGCTGGAATATTCATGTTTACATGTTCGGCACAATAGATAACACCTTTAAATATATACATGTAAAAAACTAGCAATATCAAATATAAGACATCGATTCTGTAACTAAAATCCATAAACACATTGCACATGTTTCCAGAAATTCAGCTATAATTGTGTACAAATTCAATGTAAATTCAATACAAGCGTGGTAAAAAGATTACAAGCGTGGTAAAAAGATTAAAATTTCTACATTTTAAACAGCCTACTCATTGGCCCGAATATTCAAAGGAAGTTTGTCGACAAACCTAGGTTTATGTGCGTCATATGACGCGTTTCGACGCGCTTTTTAGGTACTTTGTCGACAAACCTCCTTTGTGAATTCGGGCCATTATGTCGGACACTGATTTATAAAAACTCTAGAATTTTCAGAAAGTGCATAGTATTAAATTACCGTCAATGGTTACAAAATATCCGTGTATCATGTGAGTTAACTCAGTTACCCAGAACGAAAATGCGGTTTTATGTGTTTGTTGTAATAGATGGATTCATTTAAATTGTTCTAAACTCAGTACTAACTTCTTTAACTCGGATACCGATTGGCTGTGTGATAAATACTTGTTCGGTGAATTACCTTTTAATTTCATAAACCTTAAGGATGAAGCACCCAAAGCCCAAAACGATAAACTTGTTATATTTTATGATACTGTGTATGAAAATCTAAATTCTTACAAGGTCAAATTGGCCACTTAAATATATGTTCATTATTTAAAAAAATCATGACAAAATAGATGGGATGCTGTTTCCATTAAACTTGATATTCTAACTTTTAGTGATACAAGATTTTGAAGGTTCCATTTCTGGATACAATATTGTGAGAATGAATAGAAACCGAAATGGTGGTGGGGTTTATATACGAAATTCGATATACCTTTGACTTTGGAAAAAAACATTTTGAAGTTAATTTGAAGCTATTGTGTGCTAGAATACATGTCGATAAACAAAAACCTTTGTATGTGGTTGTATGGTATAGACCCCAAGATTCTAATAAAGAAATTTTAGATCAGTTTGATTTTTGTAATTTTTAGATACACAATCAGTTGATTTTATTGTAACTGGTGATATGATATGTGATGTCATGAAGAATCCACCTTCTTGCCATGCAAAAACATAGCTTTTGTTGGCAAGTGATTTTGAAATGAAACAAGGAAACAAATAATAACTAATAATAATAATAATAATAATTGTAAATTTATAATGCGCAGTTTCTATATGTATATACTCAACTGCGCATGACATATTGGATATTATTATTACCCCTAATACATCTTCTCCTACAATTGATTTACTGTTTTCTTCAAATGATGAAAATTTTCAGTTTTGTGACGTTGTACCCATTTCATTGAGTGACCACTTATTGTTGCTGCAGTTGGCAAAACAAAGTCTCCTGTTTCAAGACATAAATACATCTCGTATCGAGACTTTGACAAAAAGGAATTTCGAACTTTTTTTTACAAATATCTAAAGTATGCATCTTGGTTTAACATTCTTTCCGAAAATGATAAATAGACAGGATTTGAAACTTGGTTGATTTGTTCGAAAAATCATTTTAAATAAACATGCCTCTCTAAATTTCAAACGAGTTAGAAAAAATAGTAAACGATGGATTTATTATAATATCATTTTCTTTGATGCGGAAAGGGATGCTTGCAAGGAGCACATTTCTCTCTGGAAACCTCCGACTGGAATGATTATAAGAAAAGGTTACTTCTTATATACGTAGGGCGAAAAGAGTATATATCACAGCTAATATTTTTTCAGGCTAATGGTAACAGTGCAGAAATGTGGAAATTGTTGCGTAGTAAAATTTAAAAAATGTTTTGTTCAAAATGGTTATAAACATACTGATTCCAAGAAATTGCTAATATATTATTTTCTTTTTCAACTGAAAGATGAAAATCGCTTTGACTCTAAGTCTGTTTCCCTTTCATCAAGTATCTTGCAATGATGTTCTAAAGATTTTTCAAGACATTCCAAAGAGTAAAGTTCAAGGTTTAGATTGTTTACCAACTTTTGTTTTAAAAGATTCTTTGCCATTTGTTGTTCAGTATCTTACGCATATTATTAGTTTGTCTTTGGCAAATGCTTCGATTCCTTGTATAAGGATGGGAGCATGACCGATCCTCGAGAATTACTATATACTCAGTCCTTCCAGTTTTGTCAAAAGTTCTCGAAAAGATAGTCTTCACACAAGTCTATAGATATATTACGGATAATTCAATTTTGTCTGACAATCGATTTGGATTTCGTTCCAAATATTCTACTACATCAGCACTTGTTACAATAATTACCGACAAAATACGTCAACAATTGGACAATGATTTCATCGTTGGTCTTGTCACTTAGGACTTTAGAAAAAAGTTTTGATTTGGTGTTTCATTAATTATTGTTTTAAAAAAAAATTCTCTTGGACTTGATGAGGATATAGCTTAAAAGATGGTTTGAAGATTATCTTTCTTTAAGAAAACAAATTACAATTGTAAGTTGGAGTAAATCATGCCCCGCCTTTGTTACATTGCTGTTCATTCCGAGTTTCTTAATGATATTACTAATGCATAGCGCAATGTCTTCATAATATATGCTGATGACACATGTCTTTACTATGCTTCTAATAACCGGGATGTTCTTGCCCAAATGAAGAAATATCATTGATTTCAAAGTGGCTGAAGTGTAATGAATTGTTGATGAAAACTAAAGGGTTTAAAACGGGTTGATGGATGTAAATATCTATGTGTCATTTTAACACCTTCTTTAAGTTGGGACGCCTATATCTATATTCCATCTCTGAAGAAAAAGATAATTTATAATTTATTGTTTGAAAAGAATTGTGCCTTTTGTGAGCAAGAAAACTGCTATCATATTGTATAAAGAACCTTTTCAACCTCATTTTGATTACTGTTTCATTTATGGTACAATGCTGATATAGTTTTAATCAAGCAGTTACAAGTATTACAAAATCGGGCTTTGCGCATTGTTCTGAAAGTTGATACCGGATTTAGCTCCCATTTGGATATTGATCGCCTTGAATTCCATTTGGAGAAAAAAAAGCTATATGCTTTGTTTTTAAACTATTCCACACATTCGTATCGCATTCGTTAGGCTCCCGGATTTATTTGGAAAGAAAACGTATACTGCCTTAGAAATTCAGACTACACTTTGTAAATTGGTAAACCTAAAACAAATTTTATGCGATTGGGTAGCATTTTTGCCAGTAACAAATTATATCATCAATCGCCATGTCTTTCACGTGATAAGCAAAATTATTAAAAAATTGTTAGAGTAGCTCAAGAGTATAACGGAAGCAATCATTAATATGCCATTTAAAAAATGTTTGTAATGTTTGTAATGCTTTTTACCCAATATTATTATGTATTGTAAATTATGTATTTCTTTCTTACTATCTTTGACTACTCTTTTGTTGCCCCTTCCTTGTTTTACTTCTCTTCACTTTGAAAGGTATCCTATATCTCTATCACTCTTTCCTTCTGCTATATGTATAAAACTCCATAATTGTAACTAAGCAATTAGTTATGGGCCCATGTAATGCTTTATATGTTTTTGAAATACGTTTGTATTGTATTTTTTTCCGACAGGCGTATAGTAATGTTGTTGTCAAATTCATTTGTGTAATACCACACACACGGACATACTGAAAAACGGCCTTTTTGGCTGAAAGTGTGTTTTTAACCGTGTCTGAATAAAATCAACAACAACAACAACTAAAACTTCTTCCTTTTCTAGTCCATTTCACGGTCCTATGCAGTCAATAGTAAAACCAGAAAAGTTGTTCCTGTTGAAATTTTTATTTTGCTGTGTGCGGGACTTGAACACCCTTTACATATTTCCACCAAGTCTGGTGTCAGCGAATTATGACCTTCTGCAAATGGAGACTGACGACCATCACCCTTTAATAGGGACTTTTAGATTTGCACAACGACAACGTAGATTGCTACGATCGACGTCCTTTTAATGCACTGCCTTGAATGGACGTCAAACGTATCAGTCCACGCAAATCTAAAAGTCCCTATTGTCTTGCTTAAGGACGTCAGTTATGTCATTATATATTTTGTTTACCGCTGCCTAAGGAGTTAGACTCGTTTTAAAAGGGGGTCGTGGGTGTACCTCGTACCAAATTATAACTGAAAATTTTCCAACAAAAAGAAATAAAAATGAACTCATCAGATTTATAAATTTTATGCCAAGGGTGATAGGTATTAATTATCATGTTGTAGCATGAGCCTAAAAAGCGGGGTCCTTAATATCAATATGCGATTTACAGCCTGCAAAAAAAAAAAAAAAAAAAAAAAAAAAAAAAAAAACTTGACAAAATATTTTCAATTTTCAATATTTTCACATTTGTATCTCCCTTCGAGCATTTCTCCTTTCCGCCGTGTGATCTTCTATACAAAGTTGGTGACATTTCATGAATTCAAAAGGCAACAGCGACTTTGCTGACGTCTTCTGTTGTTAAAACCTATTGACAGATACAAATGTATAAATTAGAATATTCTGATTCCTCTCTGTATACGTACAAGAAATATTCTATTGTTTTATGAAAATTGTAAATACCAGTACAAAACTGAAGCACGGGGTCGTAAAAGAAGAAAACAAGACAGTAGTATACAAAAAATCTATGTAAGTTATAGACTTTTTACATTGTTACATGATCGACCATTAACTTTATTTGATAAGCTATCACTCACTGCTCACTACAGCGATAACAAGGCCATCTTGTACGTTCTTGCACATTTCAGTTTGCACATCTTCACGATTGTGAGTGTGTTTCAGCGGTTTGCGTTAACATGGCTCTCAACCGTGTCTTGTTGTTGGTTTTCTTGCTTAAAACTTTACCGTTTTGTTCTTGTTCTGATCCATATTGCGCTCTTGATGGTGAAAATCAGTATTCTTATGAGGAGGGTGGTGCAGTAGACGATTACTCGAATTCTTGGATGAGCACTAATACCGGTGAGTTATAAAATAAGTCTCGCGATGTGCCCGCCTCTTGTAAGTGGAAGCTTTCAGACGTGTTTAGTAGAGGTATTACCTCTTGAGTCGCTAACAATGAAGATGTTTGGATAAACAGACTAAGAATATTGGCAGGACCCTGGAGAGGAATTTGGAGAGCCCTTGTATGGCAAGGAGAGGGAGGGAGAAAGAGATAGAGAGAGGGCCTATGCAGAACGCACCATATTTGAAGAGCACATTCAAAGTGGCCTAACCTGTTATATCATTGCACTCTTCTCTTGCTTCCCCCTATATACAACCATTATTATGACCTCAGTACGTTAGTGAATTCACACTGTTATGCGTGTTCCTTTTATTTTAGTTTTACCGTAATTTCAGCTGTATTAGGCCTACCGCTAGAGAAAGTAACCGTCTTTAGGGGCACGAGAAAAAAGAAAACAGACATAAGATCGCAGTTACCCTGAATTTCATATAAGAACTATGTCCCATTTGCAGGCCAAAACAAACGGAAAGGTTAAATTCCAACATATGTTATTACCAATGAAAAAAGGAGTCAGTCACTCAATAGTGTCTGACAGTGAAGTCTAGAGAGTAAACGGATTTCCTTGCATACTTTGAATACTAGGACACTGATAACGTTTAAATTTTACAGATAGGATATACCATGGAGCTTCTACGCTAGTAAATCCATGCTCTATATAAAGAAAAAATGCATTTCATGTTATTTTGGACTCGTTCAAAGGTGAAGAAAAAAATCTACAAATTTATGTAATTCAAAAGTGTAAAAAAATAGAACAAGTTAATGAAATTGAGTACCTGCCTTTTGCTTACGTTGGAATTGTGACATAAATGCATTACGCAATGAACTATCGAGAACTATATTGGTTTATTCAGTCATATCCATGTAAATATTACTTTGTATAACTTAATTGTATTTATATATTTTATAAAGAATATTTCAGGAGGCATGGTATATAGCCTGTTATTGTTCTTTATTTTAGGTTTGTCTATTTTTCGTATTATTTAAATTTATTTATTTATATATTTTTGTTTTGTATCGATCTAATAACAATCCGTATACCGTGTGGCATTATACGTTCACTTGACACTTCAATTGAAATAGAGAGGCTTTTCAGTTCCTATGAAATGTGATATTATATAAGCGTACCAGCATATTATACCCGAACAAAGTGGTGGTTTTCTCTTACCAACTATTATTATCCACGGTAGCTAGAACTGAAAAGTAAGAATAGGAAAGACACTCTGAAAATAAAACTACCAGATAATTTATGTATACGGGCTGAGCCGACCTTAAATTGTCTGGCTTCCAGGCCAAGGGAACATGGACCAATATGGCCTGATCACATTCTCCTAATAAGGTTAAACGTCTAAGCTTATACTTGCAGGTACATAATGGTACATCAAACAGGAGTAGTGAGTGTAACTTCCTCCCATTGCAGTAACTAAAAGGAATACAGAATGTACAAACGAGACAATTTTTGGTTAAACTGTAGAGTACCTCATCATAAGGGGTAATGTAGCCAGCTTTTAACTAATGGTTTAAACAGTTTAATATAAGTGAAGTACTGTAAAAATGGATAAAGACGATAACAGTTGTCTTGTACCATTCTCCTTTTTTCTACTCTCTATTTAGGGCGTAATGACGAAGTTCCTTCGGCATCCATCGTCTGTCCGAACGGTAAGTGACAATGCTGAATATGAGAAGGATCAATGGTTAATATGTAAGCAGATTATTTGCTTACTACTAACTCTTTTTTCTTTAATAAAAAAAATGATCACCAGTATGGCCCTAAAGGAATTGCTTGATAAAAACAACGCACGTTGATTACGTACGGTCGTACCATCATGTTTGTGTGACTTTTATAATCAAAATAACGACCTGAATTTGGAAATGCATTCGTTTGTTCTGTTTCATTCCTATAATTATATTCCTATAAATTCAGATATATTATACAACATAAAATAGTGATGACCCCCCCCCCCCGCACTAACAATACGAGGTTATGATGGCATGACTTAGTTGTAGTTTATTAGTATTAGCGTTGAAGTCTTTCTGCTGGTAAACTGTCTCGTTTCAGGTAATATAAGTCAGTTCCAGAGATAGGGCCTTGTTCAGGTCATAACTTTAGGCAATCCAAGCTCGACATTATAAATCCTTTCTCTTTACTTTTTTGTTTGTTAAACCTCTTTTCAACATCATCACCATTACTTTTTGTCAATGTTCTGTGTTCCTTCTATATGCCTCTTCACGCAAATAAAGCTGTACGATTCATAATTACAATTTCTTTTCACTTTGCAGATGCTGACACCTGCTTTTCTTACTCTTTTACAATCGAACGATGCCAGACGAATTCAAGCTTTTCTCCTGAATTCTACTGCAATTGTGATTCCGACTGCGATCATTTTGAAGATTGTTGCTATGGGCATAGGAACGAGAACGCGTCTATGCGAGCAATAAAGGCCAAGTTCTTCCCAGAAAAGCAATACTGGAGTTGTACCTCGTTCACGATTGGTATTGAATGGTCAACGGCTTGCATTCGTGATGTCCTTGTGGTGAGCATATGTCCATCTTCAGCCAGGACAGACCTTGACTTGGTACAAAGATGTGAGCAGCCGCTTGCGAATGACACTGTCTTCTTTGACTCCAAGGAGATCTTCTACCGCAACAGGTATTGCGCTCTTTGCCACAGCGTGAACTCATCGGAACTCACCCCTTACATCATTTTCACACCTTGTTTGGACAACAGACAAACTGAGAGCAATCTTTGTGGACAACGGCCATTTTTAGTCAATGGAAGCGCCCCTCCACCTATCCGCTGGTGTTTCCATGACAGTGCCATCATATCGCACTGTGATTCACAAACAGGAGCAGGCGTGCCGTGTTTAAACGAAACGGAGAGAGTGATAATCAACGGTAGTATCTACAAGAACATTGATTGTGCAGAATGCAACGGAGTCTCTGTTGATAACAGTTCCAGTCTTAGAAGCAACTGTGAATTTAATCTCAATGGCCTAAGTATTCCGATCAATGTTCCTTATAACCAGCCAGCCTTCGAAATTACCTATTTCTACCCTCAGCTGCAATGCATGAATGGTCTTCAATTGTCTGGTACTGAATGCGTTCCAGAGGTCGGCTCCTGGCCTGATTGCAGGAACAGAAACATCATCTTGGGTGTCATCACCAACGGATCTCTGCAGTGCTTCGATGGTTTCGAAATCCTGAAGATTTGGGCGTACAACAACTATCCCAATACCACTATCTATGAACTGAAGGAAGAGGAATATGACGGAAGTAAAGTAAACTTCATGATGTTTCCAGCAAACATCGTACCGCAAAAGACCCAACTAGAAGGCTTCACGGAAAGCATACTGGGAGAGAAGCGGGGAGACTGTTGCCGGGACAACAACATCATCATTTATGAAGTGTGTGACATTGAATATGAATTATCCACTGGCAACAATGCCAATCTGACTCGGATAACCGACGATATCGACTTGTTTGAACCTGTGCTCATCAATGGAACAACGTACATCATGTACAATCACACTACCTTTGTGACGCCATTGTACTGGGAAAATAATACTTATTACAGACGTCTTTCAAGGGAGTGGAAATTCCCCATAGAACAGTCCTTCTCGCTTCATGGAGAGATTGTTGACATCGACACTTGCGCCTTCATCGTTGTTGGAAACTCTCTTATTACCGAAAACGAGCGGAATAATGTTACATACTTGGTAGGTTAATAAAACTTTTTGTTTTAAATTTCACTATTGATGACAAACTATCGATGTCATACCCAAAAACTTTTGCATGATAAACCAGTGTCATATGTAACTCAAATTTAAATATGATATTAAACGTCAAATAATTGTAACCCTCGCGAAATATTGAAGAAAACTGTTGATCTTGTAAGTTAATCACCTCCAACAATTTATCCCCTTGAAAAAAAAACGATTTACATTATGCTTTATTTTCGTCATACATGTACATTCAAATATCTTGTCACTCTCAGATATACCAGGACATCCCATTTCCTCCAGAGAGCTACATTCGTTACCTGAATGGCTCTGTCCGTCTCTGCTGGACTGGACCCGATCCTCCAGAACCTGTCGGCATGTTCGAGTACTCCAAAGGGCAGAATATACTGAACCTCATACTCGCTATACTGTCCTCCATCTGTCTCTTGGCGACGTTGCTCACGTACTGTATCTTCAAGCCTCTGAGGAACCTCCAAGGCCTATCCATCATGAGCTTTGTGTCGGCCTTTTTTGTTGCGCAGGTTAGTGCCAGGACTGTGTGCCTTTATTTTGTTTAAATTAATTTGCCGACCAAATGCAATGTAATTCTCAAAGCTCACACCTGCCTTTTGAGATTTCTCGACAAAGACCCCTGACTTACTAGGCCTTGTATTTCGATTTAACTTCTCAAGTTTGAGTTTAGATAATAATGAAAATAGGAGCAGTGCAGTTGCAGATCTCAGTTTTCCGTTCTTGCTTACAAATTCTGAAATTCTTCTTGAGATACGTGTACAGTATATTCGAATTGACAACCTTGTTAAATGTCAAGTCCGTTTGTTACAGTTTCTACTTAAATAACATTTCACTATCCCTCGTACGTTGACGCGTGCAATGACCTGTCGAAGATTTCTCCATGCAGAGTTTTTGTAAAGGATCATAAATATTCTTATTTTTCCATAGGTGATGCTCCAGTTCATCGCTCCTAACATGATATCTTTGCCAACTGTTTGTACGATAGCAGCTACCATCGCTCATTATTTCCTCCTCGCTGTCTTCACATGGACGAACATCCTGGCGTGGGATCTTGTTCGTCACTTCGCATCCTCATCTTTCTTACCAAAGAGACATGGTGAGATGAGACGTCTGATCGCCTACCTCATCATCGGCTGGTGTCTTCCTCTCGTCATCGTCGTTCCCTGTCTGATTATTCAAGTTCAGAACCCTTCGCTGTTTCGCTACGGCAAGATCGGGACATCGTGCTGGATCTACCAAGCCAGGGCTATCGTGTTGGCTTTCTTGGTACCTTTCGCCGTCAGTTTCCTCGTCAATATCGTTCTCTTTTCGTTAACTGTCTACGGTGTTCACAAGAGCAAACGTGATTCAAGTGCTCTGCACGAAGGTGCTCATGAGCGACGGAAGGAGCTCTTCCACGAACTGGTAGTTCACTTTAAGGTTTGTTCATAATCTACGAGCCATTATTATGTATTAAAACATGAACACCTATCACCAATGAGCATGAGCGTAAATCCTTACGTAATACCTATTGTTAAGTGAGGTATATAAATATTCCTAGCCAGGCAATACAGTGATTACTAGAAAACCATATCATACAAATGCAAGAGTCACAAACACTATTATGTTTCTTCCAACTTTGTTGAATGGGCATTTCATGACATAGCATAATTACTTTTGGACAATTCCATCCGGACAGACTATCACTGAACAACTCTCACCATTGGTTGAATATCCCGGACAATTTTCACCTTGATTAATAATCTGGGAAAATTACCCCCGGACAACTGAAGTATTAATCGATGGTAACATCTTTGTCTCTAGTTTTTCTCATTTCTTATTTGTGATGGGAAGTATTCCTAAAGCATGGCTGTATCTATATACTTCTTCCGATATACATGCTATTTCTAATACTACCGCCTCCTATACTCCTGTACAAGTCATGTATTTTGTCTGTAATCTCACACGAACTTATTTGTGTCGGATTTTATCTTTTTATGCGTCTCTCTCCCCTCTTAATTCACCATCGCATTGTCCCTCCTTCTTAAAACCGTTCAGATATCATGCCTGCTTGGTTTTGGATGGTCCTTCGGTTTCATCGCTGCGTTTGCCCAGGCTGCTGCTGTTTGGACAATCTTCATCATCACAAGCTCTCTGCAAGGGGTTTTTGTCTTCGTCTTCTTCGGCGCTAACCATCGGGTGAGAGGTCTCTGGCGAAAGAGAATCCGTGAATCCAAGTCAGAAGGGAGAAGTACGAGTACACAGGAACCAAATCTACGGGAACCAGTCGGACGAGAGACAGGAGAGGAAAAAGATAACAGCGTCGGGTTCAGCCCCGTCAGCTACACAAGTCTAAGAGTTTCTCAGTGACTTAGACTTAGACAACCCGTAGATTAGAATACTTTGTTTGGAATTCCTCCCGGAAAGTTTAGAGATGATCGGAAATATTGTTTGCCTCATGATCAAACCTACTTTGCCTGATGTTTGTTACCTATACTTTTGTCTATACTAATGGAATGTGTTGATTTGGTTTGAAGGGCCAATGGTCCTTGTCAACGTTCCTTGATGACTGAAAAATACAGTATCTAGTGATAGAAAGGCCGAAAGCAGTAAAATACAAGACATAAGCGGATAACTTGTGAGGCCATTACAGATGATTATTGCAAGATTCTGTGCTTTAGGGCTTTGAAAAGATGGCGGAAACTATGGAGGAATATAATTATAAAGTGGTGTGTTTCTGTATCAATAATGCATAAATAAATGTATATAATAAGCCACTTTGGAGATCCTATCTGCGCATCGGCAGGTAAAGGTCATTTGTACAAAAATATAAAACCATCGACTGCTGGATACGTGTTCATTAAATTTATGTAATCACCATTCACTTATGCACCGGTGGTACATTCTATGATCATACACAGATGGAATTATGCTGTCCAAGCGGGCAAACAAAGGGTATTCATGAAGCACCACCAGCATTTTGGCAGTGATTATCCTAAAATGCACGGAGATGGACGTCTCCATGTGAAAAAACCTCTGTAGATTTTGGGGGTCATTTTGTACAAAAGTTAACTATAGCCTATAGAGGCTTTTCGGTTGTGTTGACGCCAGTCGTCTTCAAGTGGAAGAACTAATCAGGATTAATTTTCCAAACGGCTGATTTAAAGTAAAGCGAGCCCCGATTCGCCATTTGGTAAAGGTTCAACCATAACGTGCCATATACTCCCGTTTTAATGTTTATAAACCCCTTCCAGATTTTGGGGGAGGATTAAAAAAAGAAGACTGCCTTTTGAAAAGAAATATACTCTATATAGTTAATTGATGCATATATATAGTTGATGCACCCCTGTGTGTTCTAGGACACCTACACCCTGGACATCCATCCCCGGATAACCACCCTCTAGGACAACTACCCCCTAGGGCAACCATCCTCTAGGACGACTACCCCCTGGGACAACTACCCCCGGACAGCTACTCCCTAGGACAACTAACCCCCGGACAACTACCACCTGTGGACAACTACCCCTACGACAACCATTCTCTAGGACAAATATCCCCGGACAACTATCCTAGGTAGTTATCCCTAGAGGGTGGTTGCCATAGGGTAGTTGTCCTTGGGGGTAGTTCACTGGGGTGGTTATCCGTTGGTGGATGTCCAGGGGGTAAGTGTCCGGATACGACCATGACTGAAAGTAAGTACATACTATTTTTGCTTACTTTCTTATGAATTATAATAATATATAAATGGAGTGGTATGTGCATCACAATCACGTTCGTCTGATTGTTAGCTTATTTGTATATTTCTCAATAAATTTACCTCCTGTACTCAGGCGCGTACGCAGGGGGGGGGGGTTTGGGGGTTAAACCCCCCCTTTGGAAATTTTTTGTGTGTAAACCCCCCAAAAAAAACCTAAAACCCCCCCCCTTTTGGATTTTTTTTTTTTTTTTTTTTTTTTTTTTTTTTTTAATTATTAAAAAAAAAAAAAAAAAAAAAAAAATATTCCCATGGCCGACCTAAAAAGGTGACCTTACCCCCCCCCCAACGGAGCAAAATGTCAAATTTCCAAATTTCGAGACCAAAAAAAAAAAAAAAAAATGTCCTCTTACCCCCCCCCCCCCCCCCCCCCCCCCCCCCCCCCCCCCCCCCCCCCCCCCCCCCCCCCCCCCCCCCCCCCCCCGCTTATTCAGCGGTCGGCTGAGTCGTTGCGATTTTTTTGGGACCAAAAAAAAAAAAAAAATGTGTCCTCTTACCCCCCCCCCCCCCCCCCCCCCCCCCCCCCGCTTATTCAGCGGCTGGCTGAGTCGTTGCGAAATTTTCGGACCGATTTATAAATGTTAAAACCCCCCCCTTGAAAAAATCCTGCGTACGCGCCTGCCTGTACTTATTCAAAAGTATGGAACAAGTTATAATCCTGGAACACAGTGTCATCGAGACTTATCAATTAAGACACAACTTACATCTGACAATCCAATTTTCTAAAATAGTGATGGTGGAGGGGGGGGGGTATAATTCTTAAATTTACCCCTAAAATTAATATCATGAATGTTTAACTAAAATTCTTCCAAGCGAGAATGAAACGCTCCAATCCCGAAGTAAATTCATACATTTTTTCCTCCATTCTGTGCACAATCAATATAAATATTAATACATTCCAAATTTATTTAGTTATTCGCCACACCTTCATTGCGTAATATCACAATCTGTCTCCATGTGTGCAATTTTAAGACTTGTTTTTTAAATTCACAGGCTGGTTAAGATCATAAGTATGCTGAGTGTCAAATGTGTCAATTTCTCTGAGATTTATGGGTTACATGTCGTTTTTTCCGAAGGTTCGTATTTCCGAAAATAAAATATAAACAATTATTCATTTTCACCATTAAAGTTCTTATAATATTTTATCAAGTTGAGATATGATTCAAAGCACTAAGTGACATTAAAGGGCGGGAGTGGTTTATTCTAAAACGCTCAAGAGATGCCTGAAATACAGGCGCGGATCCAGGAGACTGAGCGTGCCTCCCCCCTCCCCCCACCTCCCGTTAATAAAAGAAAGAGAGAGAGAGAGAGAGAGAGAGAGAGAGAAGGAAAAGAAAGGAAAATGAAAGAGGAAAGAAATGGAAAGAAATAAGAATATGAAAAAAAAGGGGGAAAGAAGGAGATAGGGGGCGAAAAGGGCTTTGCTTCCAAGGCTGCAATTGCCTCCCCCCCCCCCCCAAGCTACAGCGGTTCCAACGCCTAGGGCTGGGTGGATGCGGAAGGTGTGCGCGCGTGTGTGTGTGTGTGTGTGTGTGTATGTGTTTGTGGTGGATTTAAAAAAAATCAGGGTCCTCAATATCAATAGGCGATTCAACAGCCTGCACAAAAAAAATAGAAAATCTTGCCGACAGAATCTTTTCAATTTTCAATATTTTCACATTTGTATCTCCCTACGAGCATTTCTCCTTTCCGCCGTGTGATCTTCCATACAAAGTTGGTGACATTTCATGAATTCAAAAGGCAACAGCGACCTTGCTGACGTCTTCTGTTGTTAAAACCTATTGACAGATACAAATTTATAAATTAGAATATTCTGACTCCTCTCTGTACATGTACAAGAAAGATTATTTACATTTATGAAAATTGTAGAAGAAAAAGAGCGGGGTCGCACAAAAAGAAGAGAAGTCAAAAGAGAAGTACAAAAGGTGTAATATGTACGTTACAGGATTTACCATTTCAGGTATCGCTTACTGCACACTACAGCGGTAACAAGGTCATCTTGCACGTTATTGCACATTTTCAACAATTATAGTGGTGTTTTTCGTTGTTTGCGTTAAAATGGCTCTACATCGTGTCTTGTTGTTGGTTTTCTTGCTTAAAACTTTACCGTTCTGTTCTTGTTCTGATCCATATTGCGCTCTTGATGGTAAAAATCAATATTCGTATGAGGACAGTTCAAATGGTGCAGTAGACGTGGACTTGTATTCTTGGACGAGCGCTACAACCGGTAAGTCATAATGATTTTCGCAATGTGCCCGCCTTTAAAAAGTAGTAGCTTCCAGACGTGTTTAGTGGAGGAATTACCACTTGAGTCGATAACAATGAATATGTCTGGATTTATAAACAGACTACTACGAAAAATAAAGGACCCTGGGAATTTGGAGAGCTCTTGTATGGCAAGGAGGGGGAGGGAAAGAGATAGATAGAGAGAGAGAGAGAGAGAGAGAGAACGCACCTCTTGTATCATTGCACTCTTCTCCTCCCCCGGCCCCCTCCTCCTCCGACGGTCCCCAGGCCCGCCCCTGTACTGCCATTATTATGACCTCAGTATTTCAGTGAATTCTCACTAAATAATTGTGCCCGTTTCTTATTTGCTCTGCGCGTGTTGATATTACACGTTTTATTTTAGTTTTACTGTAATTTCAGCCGTATAGGATTGCAAGAGAAAGTAATCACCTTTAGAATTAGAGGCTCGAGAAAAAAGACATGGGGTCGTAGTTAATTAGTTAGCTTCTAACTTCTAAGTAGTTACTCTGAATTTCTTGTAAGAAAGTGTGTCTAAAAATAATGACTGGTAAAGTGAGTTATATAATATTTTTGGACAGCAAGGAAGTCAAACTATGTTCTTTTGTGAAAATAAACCCCTTGGGAAAATGTAACTTCCTTCGGCGGTCCAAAAATGTTATGTTCACTGTCGCTCATAAAGTTGGAATATTTTTGTTTTACCCCAATTTATGGAATTATTTTAAAAATAATTTAAAAATAATAGATCTAGATAATAGTATACATCTCAATTTTATTGAATAATAATTGGACAATGTGTGTTTTGCGTGACTGCTAAAGCATGTATATGCTACTATGCTTATCAACTAGGGGACCTACGTCCTTAAGTCATAATGACAGTAATGAGGATTAATGCCCCACAAAAGGGCACTAATATTGCACATCGACACGGTTTTGATCCTGGAGCCTCACGGTTACGAGGCCATTGCTTTGTCACTGACCATGACTGTATATGCAGCGGGGGCTAGGGTAGGGGCAGTTTCCATAAATAAAAAAAACAAAGAAAATGCAAAAAATTTCAATAATTTATTGCATTTTACCCCGGTTCCCAACATAAACAAATCCTGTGTGTCCATGCCTTGAACCATAATGCATGGGCGTCCAGATGACATTTAAGTAATCTAAAAGTGCAATAAACTTGAACAAGTTCATGAATTTGAGTACCTGTCTTTTGCTTACGTTGTAATTATCACATCAATGCAAGAACTCTCGGCTTTATCATTCATAACCAAATTTATATTCATTGGTAATTACTTGTATTGTCATATTTTGTAAGCAAATATTTTAGGAGTTATTGTTTATTATTGTTTTATATCTTAGTTGTGTCTATTTT